TACAGTAATAAAGAGTGTATAGCCTAGATATGTGGTTACATAACACATCAGTAAACAGTGGGTGATAGTGTGGCAGGTGAGCCAGTTTTCATGGTAAAGGTAGTTACAGTGCCTTGAAGAAGAATTCATACCCCTTGAAATTTTTCCACATTTGGTCATGTTACAACCAAAAATGTAAATGTATTTTATTGGGATTTTATGTGATAGACCAAAGTGGCACATAATTGTGAAGTGGAAGGAAAATGAGAAATGGTTTTCAAAATGTTTTACAAATAAATATCTGAAAAATGTGGCGTGCATTTGTATTCAGCCCCTTTTACTCTGATACCCCTAACTAAAATCTAGAGGAACCAATTGCCTTCAGAAGTCACCTAATTAGTAAATAGAGTCCACCTGTGTGTAATATAATCTCAGTATAAATACAGCTGTTCTATGAAGCCCTCAGAGGTTTGTTAGAGAACATTACTGAACAAACAGCATCATGAAGGCCAAGGAACACACCAGACGGGTCATGGATAAAGTTGCGGAGATGTTTAATGCAGGGTTAGGTTATAAAAAAATATCCCAAGCTTTGAACATCTCACGGAGAACTGTTGAATCCATCATCCAAAAATGGAAAGAGTATGGCACAACTGCAAACTTACCAAGACAGGGCCATCCACCTAAACTGCCGGCCGGGCAAGGATATCATTAATCAGAGAAGGAGCCAAGAGGCTCATGGTAACTCTGGAGGAGCTGCAGATATCCACAGGTCAGGTAGGAGAATCTGTCCACACGACATCTATTAGTCATGCACTCCACAAAACTGGTCTTTATGGAAGATTGGCAAGAATAAAGCCATTGTTGAAAGAAAGCTATAAGCAAGAAGCCATGTCGGGGACACGGCAAATGTGGAAGAAGGTGCTCTGGTCAGATGAGATCATAATTGAACTCTGTGTGTGGCGGAAAACTAACACTGCACATCACCCTGCACACACCATCCCCACTGTGAAACATGTTGGTGGCAGCATCATGTTGTGGGGATGCTTTTCTTCAGCAGGGACAGGGAAGCTGGTCAGAGTTGATGGGAAGATGGATGGAGTCAAATACAGTGCAATCTTAGAAGAAAACCTGTTAAGAGTCTGCAAAAGACTTGAGACTGGGGCGGAGGTTCACCTTCCAGCAGGACAATGACCCTAAACATACAGCCAGAGCTACAATGGAATGGTTTAGATCAAAGCAGTTTGTGTTTGAATGGCCCAGTCCAGACATACATCCAATTGAGAATCTGTGGCAAGACTTGCAAATCGCTGTTCACGGACACACTCCATCCAATCTGACATGAGCTCTTGAGCTACTTTGCAAAGAAGAATAGGCAAACATTTCACTCTCTAGATGTGCAAAGCTGGTAGAGACATCCCCCAAAAGACTTTCAGCTGTAATTGCAGCGAAAGGTGGTTCTACAAAGCACTTACTTAGGGGGGCTGAATAAAAATGCATGCCACACTTGTCAGATATTTATTTGTAAAAAAAATTTTGAAAACCATTTATCCTTTTTCCTTCCACTGCACAATTATGTGCCACTTTGTGTTGGACTATCACATAAAATCCCAATAAAATACATCAACATTTTTGGTTGTAACATGACAAAATGTGGAAAATGTCAAGGGGTATGAATACTTTTTCAAGCCACTGTATGTGGTACTATTGCACTTTAGAAAAAATATTTTTTTTAACAAAAGGACTTAGCCTTTATTTAGGATGGGATATATGAACAAGGGAGGTGGGGAGCTGGAGTTCAGTTTTATGACACAAAGAGGCATTTCTATCCTGTTGCTATACTATGAATATACAAGATTCTTAGCAGTTTCACAATCATTGTTTTATATATGGTGACTTTTACTTGCTAGGAACAGGTCAGACCTGCACCAGGGACATGCTTGACTCATGTACAAGCTGGCCTGGAGCAGTGTTTATTGCAGTTCATCTGTGCCTGTGGCCTGATCCCTTGACATTAATGATCTTTTCGAGCAACTGTTTATACATTGCTCAAAAAAAATTAAAGGAACACTTTTTAATCAGAGTATAGCATCAAGTCAGTTAAACTCCTATTGAGCTGTTCAGTTAAGTAGCAGAGAGGGTTGTTAATCAGTTTCAGCTGCTTTGGTGTTAATTAAATTAACAACAGTTGCTCTAGATGAGCAACAATGAGATGACCCCCAAAACAAGAATAGTTTTACAGGTTGAGGCCAATGACTTTTTATCTACTCCTCTTTTCTGACTGTTTTTCACTAGTTTTGCATTTGGCTAGGGTCATTGTCACTAATGGTAGCATGAGGCGATACCTGGACCCTACAGAGGTTGTGCAGGCTGTCCAACACCTTCAGGATGGCACATCAATAGATGCCATTGCCAGAAGGTTTGCTCTGTCTCCCAGCACAGTCTCAAGAGCATGAAAGAAATTCCAGGAGACAGGCAGTTACTCTAGAAGAGCTGGACAGGGCCATAGAGGGTCCTTAACCCATCAGGGGTCAGGGGAGGCATATCCATGGAGGGATGCACAGATCTCTACAGGCTAGACCAGCAATGGGCAAACTACGGCCCGGCGGACCTTTTAATCCGGCCCGCGGATGTGGCTGTCAGGATGTGTGTAGGCGGGGCAGCGTGACGAACGTGAGGGGAGGGGAGCTAGGCTCCTCTCACAGTCCGCCCTGAAGACCAGAACGACGCGGGAACATGGCGTGAGGAACGCGCGGAGCAAAGGTAAGTGAATTGACACAGGGGGGACTTGGCTTACTACTTGGGGGGGAATAGTACTGTGGGGGATGAAATACTATATGAAGGATGAATTAATATGGGGAATGAATTACTATATGGGGAATGAATTACTATGGGGGATGAATTACTATATGGGGGATGAATTACTATAGGGAGGATGAATTACTATAGGGGGGATGAATTACTATGGGGGGATGAATTACTATAGGGGGGATGAATTACTATAGGGGGGATGAATTACTATAGGGAGGATGAATTACTATAGGGGGGATGAATTACTATAGGGGGGATGAATTACTATGGGGGATGAATTACTATATGGGGGATGAATTACTATGGGGGATGAATTACTATATGAGGGATGAATTACTATGGGGGATGAATTACTATATGGGGGATGAATTACTATATGGGGGATGAATTACTATATGGGGGATGAATTACTATGGGGGATGAATTACTATATGGGGGATGAATTACTATGGGGGATGAATTACTATATGGGGGATGAATTACTATATGGCGGATGAATTACTATATGGGGGATTAATTACTATGCTTACTATGGGGGAATATTACTATACTTACTATGGATGACACATACACATCATTCATCTACTCTTGGTCCGGACCCCGGGTCCAATATATGAACCCATTGCGGCCCTCAAATCAAAAAGTTTGCCCACCCCTGGGCTAGACAATGGTGCCCTGACTGCCATTAGGTATCGGGATGAAATCCTTGGACCCATTGTCAGACCCTGCGTTGGTGCTTTGGGCCTGGGTTCTTCCTTGTGCATGACAATGCCTAGCCTCATGTGGCATGAGTATGCAGACAGTTCCTGGAGGACGAAGGAACTAATACCATTGAATGGCCCCCATGCTCGCCTGACCTAAATCCAATAGAACACCTCTGGGATGCATGCATACAAGCACGTTGGGGGCCATATAAACTACTGAGTACCATTTTGTGTTGCTGCAATGAAATTCCAGCAAAATGGACTAGCCTTCTACATAATTTTTTCACTTTGATGTTCGGGGTGTCTTTGAATCCTCTGTAGGGTGATTGATAATTTTCATTTCCATCAAACAATGGGGCATCCTTACATTCCTAACACATTACCCAGTCCATATAAGTATAGATATCCAGCATGATATTTTTCCCCATTGAAATCTGATGTATTTTCAAAGTGTTCCTTTGATTCTTTTGAGCAGTGTATTTTCCTTTTTCAAAGGAGCTAGGGAAGAAATGTTGAAGGTACCTGGAGCACCAACTTATCAGAGAGTAAAACAGTAGCAATTAGACAAAATTTTCTAACATGTCCAATTGCCTTTACCCCACATTGGCCTTGGCTGGAGGTGCCTTTAGATTACTGTTAGAAATTAGACCATCACCCAGCACATAAACTGATATTAGACATCCTGATATTCGTATGCTGCTTTTATTGTGGTTGGGGAATACATTTATTGTTGGGCCAGCATGAGTTGATTATATGATGTCCTGTCTATGTGTGCACTGTATTTCCACTAATATATCTAATTGGAATGTTGGTATGTCTACAATTACACAGAGGTCTGGAGGTTGGCAGATTGGTCCTTCATGACTGATGTTACTGCCAGTTTCTTGGTATTGTGTTTCTTGTTTTTTGTAAGATTTCAAATTCAAAACTCGGCGTTGATTGAGTCTTGGGCCTGTTTGAGTCAGTTGACCACTTCTGCTGTGTCTCTTTACCTTCTTTCCTTCAGCCACCTGAACATGATTTTTGAGTCTTGTCCCTGAATATTTCATGTTCTTAACCCTTAAACTAAATGTAATTATTATATTCCTTGCTGTATTAATGACTGTTACGTTACGTTCTAGAAACTTGGTGCTTCTACTCCACACATGTATATCCAACAGAATACTTACTCTTCAATATCTTCTGTTTATATGCATTCCTTAGTTACCATCTTTTTTGTACAGCCACTGTCTGGATAACCCACTATGCATGTATGTTGTATGATAATGTGGTCATACATACTTTGTATTTTGTTTACTAACAATAAAAAGATTGAACAAGAAATTCAAAACGCAATAAAAAAAACCCAAAAATTAAAAAAAAAGACATTAGACTATCGCCTGATCCAGCTGAACTTAGAATTGCTTTGGCTCTGGAGTTTTATTCATTCTTTTTGTAATATCTACAATTATTTCGGCCAATATTTTTTTTGCTAACAATCATTTCACTTGTGTTTGTTTTTATCAGGTCTTTTATGTGCAAAATGTCAATTCAGGTCCTGAGAATATAGGCATCTGCAAGGAACAGGTATTTCAAGCATATAAAGTAGAAAACACACATATATATATATATATATATATATATATATATATATATATATATATATATATATTTATTATTGTTATTAGTTAAAAATGGAAACACTGTATGATATGAAGGTGTGGAAGTAATAACATGTTTCTTGTTGAAAGTGGAAGTGATGTAACATTCTTTTGCTTCTGCTGTGTGATAAGACAACTAGCTAACAGGTGGGAAGCCTCACTTTTTGTCATTTCCTGGGTGCACTGCTAGTAATACGGAGTCATGTCAGAGCTTATTGAGTTTCAAAGAGAGCAAATTGTTAGTACCACTTAGCTGGTGCCTCTGTGACTGAAGTTGCCAATTTATTTGTTGTGTTGCAGGGTACATTATTGTTTGTATTATTATACAGGATTTATATAGCGGCAAAAGTTTACTCAACGCTTTACAGTTCAATACAGGAGGGCCCTGCTACTTGGAGCTTACAATCTAAGAGGTTATGACAGCATATACAGTTTCCGGGAAAATGTTGTCTGATAAGCATAAGCCCGGTCAAAATGGTTGACTGACCGAAAGAGACAAAAGAACATTGCGCAGGTTTGTGACCCGGAATAAGAAAACAACTGCTGCAGAAGTGACTGCAGAGCTCAAGTTCATTCGGGGTTGATTTATTAAAGGCAAATAGACTGTGAACTTTGTAAGTGCAGTTGCAGTTATTTTCCCCAGAACTTAATGAATGTGGTGAAGATCTGCTGATTTTCATCATCCAATCGTGTGCAAGCAAAAGTGCTTTTTTTTATTTTCCTTGCACCTGATTGGATATTCTTTACAAAGTGAAGATTCACCGCATTCACTAAGCTCTGGGGAAAATTAATACAATTGCAAGACGTGCAGTACGTGCCTACTTCACATTATGAGCAAAGGTTATTTGTTGCAGTAGAGTCAACACTGCACAGATTTGGATTTATACACTGATTTGCTTAACACTCCCACCTAAACATACTGTCTTGGTGGTAGTATGCCAATAGCATTAGTATTGGATTCTTTCAGGCTTACTTAATCAGCCTTATACCAGTATATCATACCATATCAGTGCTTTACCTTGGGAAAGTTATCTACAATGGGAAAAATAATTATTTGATCCCCTGCAGATTTTGTTTCTTACAAAGACATGAAGGGTCTATAGTTTTTATCATAGGTGTATTTTAAATGATAGAGACATAATATTAAGCCAAAATCCAGAAAAAACACATGATACAAATGTGATGATTTGAGTTGCAGTTCAAAGAGTAAAATAAGTGTTTGATCCCCAAGCAAAACATGACTTAGTACTTGGTGTAGAAACCCTTGTTGGCAAGCACAGAGGTAGGATGTTTCTTGCAGTTGGTTACCAGGTTTGCACACATCTCAGGAGGGATTTTGGTCCACTCTTCTTTACAGATCTTCTCCTTAAGGTTTCTTGGATGTCGCTTAGTAACTCAAAGTTTCAGCTCTCTCCATACATTTTCTATAGGATTAAGGTCTGGAGACTGGCTAGGCCACTCCATGACCTTAATGTTTTGCTTCTCGAACTACTCCTTTGTTTCTTCAGCAGTATGTTTTGGGTCATTGTCATGCTGGAAGACCCATCTTCAGTGTTCCTTCAGCCCCAAAGAATGAAGTTTCCACCTCCAAGCTGGACTTTAGGGATGGTGTTTTTAGGGTCATAGTCTGCATTTTTCTTCCTGCAAACATGGTGGAGTTAATGCCAAAGAGCTCAAATTTGGTCTCATCTGACCACATCATTTTCTCTCAGTCCTTCTCTGAATCATTTAGATGTTCATTGGCAAACTTCAGATGGGCCTGTACATGTGCCTTCTTGAGGAGGGGGACCTTGTGGGCACTGCAGGATATCAATCCATGGCGGTGTATTGTGCTATCAACGGTTTGTTTGGTGACCATGGTCCCAACTGCCTTAAGGTCATTCACAAGCTCCTCCTGTGTAGTTCTGGGCTGATCCCTCACTTTTCACATGATCATCCTTACCCCATGAGGCGAAATCCAGCATGGAGCTCCAGACCAAGGGCAATTGATGGTTATTTTGTATTACTTCCATTTGCGGATAATCGCTCCAACAGTAGTCTCCTTCTCACCAAGCTTCTTGCTGATGGTCTTGTTGCCCATTCCAGCCTTGTGCAGGTCTACAGTCTTGTCCCTGACATCCTTTAACAGCTCTTTGGTCTCACCCATGGTTGTGAGGTTTTAATGGAAGAAAGAGATTCTGTGCACAGGTTTCTTTTTTACATATAATGAGTTGTCATTAGGAACACCTTCTTAAATTGACAGGACTAATCTCTGTACCACATGAGCACATAGCCAGTCTGTTGGAGCCAGAATTATTGTTGGTTGGTAGAGGATCAAATACTTATTTTACTCACTGAACTGCAACTCAATTTATAACATTTGGATCATGTGTTTTTCCTTGATTTTTTTGGATGATATTCTGTCTCTTATTTAAATTATTTATTTATTTATTATTTATTTATTTACACTTTATGATAAAAGTTATAGACCCTTCATTTATTTGTAAGTTGGCAAACATACAAAATCTGCAGGGGATCATAATTATTTTCCCCACTGTATATGCCCAAAAAATTTAACCAAAGTACACAGGGGTGTGGCACACAAGGTCCCTCTCCGCCTCCTGCTACTCCGCTCCTACTGGACATTCTGAGTAATACATAATACACGAAGTGACAGGAGCGCTGCCTCAACATATGTTGTATAACAAAAAACAAATAAAAAATTTTAAATAGTAAACATATAATAGTTGATTATGAAATAAAGTCCTCAATGTGAAATCAGCAAGTGAAAAAAATTTCTTTCACATCCAGAAGGTGATAAGTGCTCTGTGCTCCCCGCCTGTGTGCCCCTAACTCACCAACATCAATGGACTCTTATGGTGAAATAAGAGTCCTTCGCGCTTTTTGCGGGGCCTAGGAAGTCACACTGGAGCTTGTAGTCGTCCTGGTTAAGAATTGCTTGTCATTCCCAGTGATTCAGATATGGAGCCGGTAAGGTATATGCATGTAAGGAATGGAGAGCGGCATCCAAAATAGTGTAATTCCATTTATTAAAAAATAAAAGCAGACCCACTGGTATTGCACTCACATGTTTCCAGATACAATGGGCATGAATCTCCAAATAAACAACAGTAGCTCGCTAGTAATTTGAGGACTTTGAGGCGCGTTTTGCCCCTCCCACTGGGCGTCCTCAGTTCCCTCTGTTGCCTCCGTTCAGAAGTGTGATACAGATTAATATTCATCAGGATCAAAAGGGTGGCTTTTATCTCCATATGATGTCATACAAACTTACAAGTAAAAGAAACATGTTTTCATTTATTTACAGTAACATTAATTTTTAAAAACTAATCAAAGTAGACAATAAAAATCTCTCTGATGCATAAAGGTTATAAAAGTGCTAAAGCTGAAGTGGTTAAAGCAAGGGTCCTCAAAATTTTTAAACGGGGCCAGTTCACTGTCCCTCAGACCGTTGGAGGGCCGGATTATAGTTTAAAAAAAAAAAACTATGAACAAATGCGGACACAATACAGGAGATGACCAGAGACTGCGGACATAGTACATGAGATGACCAGAGACTGCGGACATAGTACAGGAGATGACCAGAGACTGCGGACACAGTACATGAGATGACCAGAGACTGCGGACATACAACGGTGGCGGGAATACTGGGCCGGCCGCTCCAGAAGATATGCACAGACATTTCCCCCCAAGTGTGTCTTATGGAGCGAAATATACGGTAAATACAGGACACCTTCTTGGGTCAGATCTGTGTACACTTCTCACACATCTGGGACCCCGGGCTGTCACCAGGATATGAAGGTGACTGCGGACTACACATCCAGGGAGGGGGCATTCCACAGGAGGACCGACACACTCCTCATGTATGGAGTCCATCCTCGTTATCAGTATTCACCCAAAACTCTCTGTGCTCTGCTTCATACATGGGGTCAGTGTATATAGAATAGATGAGGGGAGAGGGGGGGGGTCAGTGTATATAAACAAGATGGGGTCAGAGTGCCGCTCTCCAGACTAACTTGTCCCCTCCTCACCTCCCCCCTCCCAGGCTGGCATACAACGTGTCACCCTGGGTGTAAATGCCGCTGTAAATCCCCGGCCATCCCCATCCTACCTGATCTGATCATCGCACACAAAGGAGCGGCGCTCTCTGGGCCCCATACACACACATGAAAACTTCCGCAGCTCGGAGAGGAGAGGGCGGAGAGACAGGACACTGCACGCCTCTGCTCGGTGGCTGCCCTCCCGATGATTTTAGGTCGCGACCTGCCAAACCCTATTTCTTTGCCTCGCGGCAGATACGCCCCTGCCCGGCGGGCCGAATAAATGTCCTCGGCGGGCCGCATGTGGCCCGCGGGCCGTAGTTTTGAGGACCCCTGGGTTAAAGTAAACCTGTCAGAGAACAAATGTGGAGGCTGCATTACTGTTCTTTTGATAAATGCTACTTGATCATTGCATATCCTGATCCGAACTAGTTGTAATACTTCCTCTGACACTGACTTGATGTAGATTGGGGAATTCCCTGAAATGTCAGTTGTTATCTTCATGCTTGTTCTGGGTAAGTGCTTCAAGCTATTTAAGTGAGATGATCAGATTGACAGATAGTAAACTGGCATTTGTAGCATGAGATTTCTGAAACTAGAGTCCCAGTGTTTCCATCATGAAAAGTTGATGTTTAATAAATAGGCTCTAAATTCAATGTGCATCGAAACGTAAACCATAGAAGCCAGGCTTTGTTACAGATACTTCTTGATTGCACCTTACTGCATCAGCGCTGGGCAGTAACAAAGACAGTATATGTATGGTAAATCGGAGGTTTCTCAGTAGTGAGTAAAGTATATTTCAATCATATAGATGGTGATTATGCTGACATTACATAGTTTTTTTAAACTGAACAAAATTGCGCATTTGTTGCTTATCTTCAGGTCCAAGGTACCCCAAATACAATATTTTATAATATTTCTTTGGTCTTTGTAGGTAAGCCTCAGTTCCCTATCCAAAGAAGACCTGCAGAAACTTACAGAAACATTATTAAGGGTAACCAGTGGTAAGTGAGCAGTCATAGTTTGAATTACTTAAGGTAAATCACTTCAGGCTGGCCCCTTTTACAGGTATACTTATGTAAAATATTAAGGGCTTGTTCACACCATGGTGCAGAGATGTCAGATTTTTTCTGCACAGGAATCTGCAAGGTATACAAAACTCATTGAAGCGTGTATGAAAACCGATGTACACTGACATCTCTGCAAGTGAAATCTGCGTGTCAGTTTCCATCAGTTTTCATGTACGTATGGTGTGAATGAGCCTTAGAAATAAGTGTCTATACTGTGTAAAATCCAGTAATTAACTGTCTCACCCTGCTCTGCACATGCTCCGTTGCTTTCCATTTGAGGCATTTTTAGGCAATGGTGAATCTGTAGAGGCTGATCCGCTGACAGCCTTAAAGTGTAATTAAACTCTTCTATCCTTTACAGCCAAGGAAGCTGCTTCTATTTGATCTCCAACTGCCTAACCAGCCATTTGATGGTTTGACAGTTTGAGGACACAAGCAAATGTGACAGTTTGTAATCCTGGCATTCCAGGAATGTAACTGTTTTTTATGTAACTGTTACACCAATTTAATTCCACTTTATGATTTACTGCTGTTTCGGGGCTCTGGGCTTCAGCAAAATGGCAGTCTCCAGCAAGAAGGAACAGGAACAATGCTGTAAGCAATTTACAGCACACACTAATTTTGGTAGCATAGTTATTAATGTGGAATGTATGTTCCTTGCTAAAGAACATTATATTTTATCAAGTTGTTATGAGTAAAATTGCACTTTAAGTGACCTTTATAATATTTCTCTGTCTGTTAATTACTTTTACACCTGCTTCTTTCAACTATACTCGTTAACATTCATGCTTCAAGAACTGTTAAAATAAAAACAATGATAGCATTTAAGAGGTCATGTAAAATGGGCAGCTATAGTCAGGCTTACATGATTGAGACCTCTTTACTAACTTCTGCATTAGTAATAATAATCTTTTACAGGTCCCATATGACACTTTGAGAAGAGTATGTAGCAACACAGCAAAAACAAGCAGGGCAAATTCTTGTCTTTCTATGTATATGCACACCTACAAATGTTTGTATTCTGGGTCCAGAGCTTTTACATAAGAATAGATATCTGGTTGATAACCCTCAACACCAGTCACTATCACGGGTGTTACAATAGTTATAGTTTAAGCAAACACTCAAGGTGTGAGTAATAAATAAATAATACCTGTGTGTGTGTGTGTGTGTGTATATATATATATATATATATATATATATATATATATATATGTGTATATATATATATATATATATATATATATATATATATATATATATATATACCGTATTTGCCGGCGTATAAGATGACTTTTTTGCCCTGAAAAACATGCCTCCAAGTGGGGGGGTCGTCTTATACGCCGGGTGCACTTCAGTTGGGATAGATATAGCTGCCATAGTGGCCTCCCGATGCCCGCCCGCCCACCTCATTCTACATACCATCCAGTGCGGCTGCAGCGGGTCATCAGCGTGGCTGCGGCGAGCATCAGCAGCGATACAGGGGTGCCAGCCTTTTCTGCTCGGCGGGAAGCAGCGGCGCTCCGGCCCGCCCCTTGTCTATGCAGAGCTCGCACATGCGCACTAGTGCCAATTACAGGGAGATGCAGGGACTGGCCGGAGGCGCTGCGGTCGCGTACAATGGTGACAATGACAGGTACTGTAGTGGCACTAATACTAATGGCACTCATGTGAAACCGGTAACAATAAATGCACACAGGGGTATACTGCGAATATAAATTAAGATGTTGAAATCAAATCTGATGTTCTTTTAAGTTTTATTTGGTGTGTGGAAGGTGTGCGGAAGAGGGGGTAGTCTTATACGGCGAGTATATAACAAACTCTATATTTTGAGTGGAAATGTTGGGGGTCGTCTTATACGCCCAGTCGTCTTATATGCCGGCAAATACGGTACATATATATATACACAGTTGTGTTCAAAATAATAGCAGTCACACATCACTAACCTGATCAATCACTGTTTTTGATAGAAATGATATTTCTACATGGCAAATAATTTACTAGCAGGTGTAGTAGAGTAATAGAAATCCAGCAGACCCAACAGTCATGACATGCATGCTGCTGATTCTGTGTAATTGAATCACTAATTGAAAGGGGCATGTTCAAAGTAATAGTGTGGAGTTCTATTAGTGAGGTCATTCATTCTTTGAAAAACAGGTGGCAATTATTGCCCTTATTTAAGGAAGGAAGGCAGCAAATGTTGTACATGCTGGTTACAGTGCATTTCTCTCTGAAATTCTGAGGAAAATGGGTCGTTCCAGACATTGTTCAGAAGAACAGCGTACCTTGATTAAAAAGTTGATTGGAGAGGGGAAAACATATAAAGAAGTGCAGAAAATGATAGGCTGCTCAGCTAAAATGATCGCAAATGCTTTAAAATGGCAACCAAAACCTGGAAGACATGGAAGAAAGCGGAAAACTACCATTCGAATGGATAGAAGAATAGCCAAAATGGCAAGGACTCAGCCAACAATCAGCTCCAGGAAGATCAAAGAAGGTCTAAAGTTACCTGTGAGTACTGTTACAATTAGAAGACGCCTATGTGAAGCCAAGCTATCTGCAAGAAGCCCCCGCAAAATCCCACTGTTGAAAAAAAGACATGTGCTGAAGAGGTTACAATTTGCCAAAGAGCACATTGACTGGCCTAAAGAGAAATGGAGCAACATTTTGTGGACTGATGAAAGTAAGATTGTTCTTTTTGGGTCTAGTGGCCAGAGACAGTTTGTCAGATGATCCCCAAACACTGAATACAAGCCACAGTACACTATGAAGAGAATGAAGCATGGTTGCGCAAGCATCATGATATGGGGATGTTTCTCATACTACGGTGTTGGGCCTATTTACCGCATACCAGGGATCATGGATCAGTTTGAATACATCAGAATACTTGAAGAGGTCCTGCTGCCTTATGCTGAAGAGGAAATGCCCTTGAAATGGGTGTTCCAACAAGGCAACGACCCCAAACACACCAGTAAACGTGCAACATCTTGGTTCCAGACCAACAAGATTGACGTTATGGAGTGTCCAGCCCAATCCCCGGATCTTAATCCAATAGAAAACTTGTGGGGTGACATCAAAAATGCAGTTTCTGAGGCAAAACCAAGAAATAGAGAAGAACTGTGGAATGTAGTCCAATCATCCTGGGCTGCAATACCTGTTCACAGGTGCCAGAAGTTGGTTGACTCCATGCAACACAGATGTACAGCAGTTCTCAGAAACAGTGCTTATACAACTAAAATATTAATTAAGTGATTTAAAGGAAAGCAAAATTTTCAAACATTTTTCAGTTTATTTAGTGAATGTTTGAGTTTGTAAAGAAGAATACAAACACTGCTATTTTTTTGAACAGTCTAACATTCACTTTTCTTCAATTTTATTAGAGGAACAACACAAATTTGATATATTTTTTCTTCATGTTTTGATTTCGAATAGATTGTGTAGTGTTCCCAATGCATTTGTGTGTATGGAAATAAAAGCTATTAGAAGGACTTTGAGCTTTATTCACTTTTTTCAACACACTGCTATTATTATGAACACATCTGTATATATAGAGGTGTTTGTCCGGGGGGGGGGGGGGGGGGGGGGGGGGGGGGGCTTGTACAGCCATCATGACACTTTCTGATTTAGTTCAGCAGTTTGTCTTGTTACTATAATCTTTCAGGTCTGGATCCACCACTGCCAGACAGGAAATTATGTCACTCTGCCTTACAAGAAGCATTGAATGACCCAACAAATGGAGACACCGCATTCAAGCATCTCAAACAACAGGTATGCAAACTGACTGCCCAGAATCTGTATGTTGTTTGTATGTACTCTTCTTTTCAGACTTCTGTAGGTAAGTAGTAGACCCCATTCTTTATTGTGTTGATAATGTAAGGCTGTTGACTTAGCATTTCAACATAGTATATTTGAACTGTAAATTGTTAATGCTGAGCTCTCCTGAAATCTGAGATTGTAGAAAGTAGGGGCACCTTGTTGCTACAAGGACAAAAGAGATTTTCTGTAGTACAAGTCTACCTTTCAGAATTAATATAATAATGGTTAGCAGCACTTCTTCCATTCTTGTACTCTTCCTTCTTAACAATTGTACAGTTTGGGCAGCAAGGGTCACATGTCTGTTCTCTATTTACAGGCTTCTATTTTGGGTCATTTGGATCGGTTGGGTTTGTTGGGTACATCCCACTGCTTTGTAGAGTTTGGAGCAGGCCGAGGGAAGTTATCCCACTGGGTAAACATTGCCATAGAAAATACTGATAATGTCCACTTTCTACTGGTAGAGAGAGCCACCACTAGGTTTAAGGTAAGAATTTTAACATCCTTTTCTTAATAAAACCAATTCTTATCTTTAGTACCACTTGGTTAAAGAGCTTTATAGTAGATTTGTATGGTATTATTATATTCTTATATAGTATTATGCATTATATTAGAATAGTATGACATTTGAAAGGACTGTTAAGCAGCTGTAATCTGTGTTTGGCCCAAGGTGGATGGGAAGCAGAAAAAGTCCACTTTTGAGAGACTACATATTGACATCCAGCACCTTTCTTTAGGTTAGTAGATTAACAAGGTATAAAGGGATGAAATGGGAAGGAGGAAACATGAGACAGTAAAAAAATATTGAATTGGTTCCTTTTCAGGTCGAGTCCTCAGCCTTGTTCAGAAACGGCTGCCAGTTATTGGAATTGGAAAACATCTCTGTGGAGCTGGCACAGGTCAGTAAATCTAAGGACAGATTGTTAATAATTTTCCCTTGCTAAAAATTAAAGTTGCAGCATAATATTACATATTCTTAATGCATTTTAGCAGTATGTCATTTATTAGTTCAATGTTTGTAAAACTTACAGCTTCCCTAAATGTCCCTCTGTTGCAAAGTGAACCTAATACCACAGCACTCTCTTTGCCTGTCAATGTTAAGAACTATCGATCCAACATTTTATATACATTTTTCTTAATGTTTCATAAGCAGATTCTTTGTAACCAGCCAAAAATTGGCCGATTCAGCAGGAACCAGCTGACTTTCGACCCATGTGTAGAACTGCCTATCTGACAGAAGCCAGTCCCATAACCGAACAGGCATGCTGGAAAACTGGCATCTGCATGTGGGCTGATCACTGTGTTCTTGCACACAAAGGCAAAGTGGGGAAATTACTACAAACATCACTTGTGTTAGTACGGCAAACAAAAAGAAAACCTCTGGTGTCTTCCCAGTTTTACCATCTCCAAACTCTACTGCTGCCCCAGTGTCCTCCTCCTCCACTTGTATTATAGGTGGGTGGAATTCTACACACTTTCTGTGAACCCAGGCCGTCATGGACACCCCCAAGTGTGAGTCACCACAGTGGCTTGGGTCTATAGGACAAAAAGAACTGTTCTTTGCAGCATTTAGGACTGCTTGGCAGATGATAGGGCAGAAGAGGAAGGACCCGAGGAAATCGCATATTTTCACTGCCCAGAAGATTGCTAGAAAAAACTGTGTAAAAGGAATAAAAAAAAGGTGGTTCTGAAGTGGAAATCTGCTTTAAAGTCTGGCTAGAGCTACGAATGTTGGCAAAACTCCCTAAGGCCATTTTTGTATTTTGGAGTTCCATCCACTGTTAAATGAACATGATGTGTGTCAGTGCCAAATAGTAAAGCACATACACAGCTGAGGCACAAGATATTGAAAGGCATATTTCAATATAAAAAGTAAAAGACATAACTATACTTGTCACCAAAAATTAAGTATGCAGCTGCACATATGACATCACTCCTTCCAGACTATGAAGAAATAATAAATAAAAGGAAAATTCCACCCACTAGAAAAACAACAGACATAAACTCAGTTTATTCAGATAGTACATTTTATCAATAACAGCATGACTAAAATAATAGTGGGAGCAAAGTTGCATCTAAAATTACAATAAAAAAGTAAAAAACAAATGCCAAGATCCCTCAAAAATTTGTAAAACTTATGATTAAAAAAGTCTTTAGATGTGCAGTTACAAAGAGATCCACTAATGATGGGTGCTTGTTCCGATGTACTTAAACAGACCTTGCATTTTATGGGTGCACCCCAAATTTCCAAAAAAAGCATTTTATAAAAGAAATTCACTAACTTCAGACCCCAGCTTCTGGCTGTTTCCTGAAGGCACCATAGACATCACTGTGCCTCATCATTGCCTCCTTGAGAAAGCAGAGTACTTCAGATCCTGCAAGAATGCTCCCATGTACTGTGCTTAGAGTTCCTGCCAGCTTTTTGCTTTCTTAGAGACTGAGTCTCATTAAAGTGTATCTTTAACAGAATGTATGTGAACGTATAGTGTGTGTGTATTTATTTATATGCATATACACTCACCGGCCCCTTTATTGGATACACCTTTCTAGTACCGAGTTGGACCCCCTTTTTCCTTTAGAACTCATAGCATAGATTCAGCAAGGTGTAGCAAATATTCCTCAGATATTTTGGTCCATTCTGACATGATAGCATCATACAGTTGCTGAAGATTTGTTGGCTGCACATCCATGATGCAAATCTCCCAATCCACCACATCCAAAGGTGCTCTATTGGATTGAGATCTGGTGACTGTGAAGGCCATTGGAGTACAGTGAACTCATTGTCCTGTTCAAGAAACCAATTTGAGATGATTTGAGCTTTGTGACATGGTGCATTATCCTGCTGGAAGTAGCCATCAGAAGATGGGTACGCTGTAGTCATAAAGGGATGGACATGGTCAGCGACAATACTCATGTAGGTCGTGGCATTTAAACAATGCTCAATTGGTACTAAGGGGCCCAAAGCGTGCCAAGAAAATATCCCCTATACTATTACACCCACCACCAGCCTGAACCTTTGATACAAGGCAGGATGGATCCATGCTTTCATATTGTTTACACCAAATTCTGACCCTACCATCTATTGTCCAATTTTGGTGAGCCTGTGTGAATTGTAACCTCCGTTTCCTGTTCTTAGCTGACAGGAGTGGCACCAGGTGTGGTCTTCTGCTGCTGTAGCCCATATGCTTCAAGGTTTGATGCATTGTATGTTCAGAGATAATATTCTGCATACCATGGTTGTAATGAGTGGTTATTTGAGTTACTGTTGCTTTTCTATCATCTCAAACCAGTCTGCCCATTCTCCTCTGATCTCTAACATCAACAAGGTATTTTTCATCCATACAGTTACTGGTCACTAGATATTTTTTCTGTTTTCGGCCTATTCTCTGTAAACCCTAGAGATGGTTGTGCGTGAAACTCCCAGTAGATCAGCAGTTTTTGAAATATTCAGACCAGCCCATCTGGCACCAACAACCATGCCATGTTCAGTGTTACTAAAACCAGGACCCTGCATTCGCTATATCTGGTCTCCCACAGTACACGGAACATGGAAGTGTAATTATTTTAGTAAATATAATCTGCTAAATACCTTTTCTTATCAGCAGTTAGAGCAGTTTTTTGACTTCAGCAAAACACTGGTTAAAGCTTGTAGGAGGAGTTTTCTTTCTGCTCTAGGATGATGCAAAACCCCTGACCTCTGTCTGGACAGTGCTGATTGGCCCTGTGCTGATCACATGCACTCTCCAAAGAAAAAATAAACCTCTCTAGCAATACACACTAAACTGAGCATGTTCATGTGGCTACAGGTTCAGTCTGTCTTACCAGGTGGACATTTGAACAAGAGGAGGGGCAGAAAAAACAGGATCAAATGGTCTTTTTATGCAATGCAGAGGATTAACCCCTTAGTTTCCACAGTGAGTATAACAAGCATGCTTTATTGCATATACAGACTGATTTTACTGTTGTGGGTTTAGTAACACTTTAAATCCTCTTTCTTCCCCATTCTGATGCTCAGTTTGAACTTCAGCAAGTCATCTTCACCATGTCTAGATGCCTAAATGCATTGAGTTGCTGCCATATGATTGGCTGATTAGCAATTTGTGTTACCAAGCAATTGAACAGGTATACCTAATAAAGAAGCCGGTGTGTGTATGTGTATATATATATATATATATATATATATATATATATATATATATATATATATACACACACACACACACATGTCCATAAATATTTGGACACAGGTTTTTTTTTTTTTTCAGGTATTTACCAGAACATATTCAAGTTATAGTTCTATAAATGGGTATGGGCTGAAAGTGCACACTCTTAGGTTTAATTTGAGGGTATGTACATCCATTTTGGAGGAAGGGTTTAGGAATTACAGCTCTTAAGAGTAGCCACCCCCCTCCCCTTTTTCAAGGGACCAAAAGTAATTAGACAAGTGAATTAAAAGCTGTTTCATGGCCAGGTGTGGGCTACTCCTTTGTTATTTCTTCATCAATTAAGCAGGTAAAAGTTCTGGAGTTGATTCTAAGTGTGGTATTTGCATTTGGAATCTGTTGCTGTGAACCTACATCATGCATTCAAAGGAGCTGTCCTTGCAAGTTAAACAGGCCATTGTAAGGCTTAAAAAAAAAAAAACCAAATCCATTAGAGAGATAGCAGCAACACTAGGAGTGGCCAAATCAACAGTTTGGTGCATTCTGAGGAAAAAATGCTCTGGTGAGCTCAGCAACATAAAAAGGCATGGACGTCCATGGAAGATAACAGTGGTCGATGATCCTCTCTGTGGTAAAGAAAAACCCATTCACAACATCCAGACAAGCGAAGGACACTCTCCAGGAGGTGATCGTATCATTGTCAAAGTCTACAATCAAGGGAAGACTTCACGAGAGCAAATACAGAGGGTTCACCACAAGGTGCAAAACATTCATAAGCCTGAAGAATAGAAAAGCCAAAAAACATCTAAAAAAAGCCAGACCAGTTCTGGAAAAGCATTCTTTGGACAGATGAAACGAAGATTAATCTGTACCAGAATGACGGGAAGAAAAAAGTGTGGAGAAAGCTTGGAACAGCTCATGATCCAAAGCACACAACATCATCTATAAAACATGGTGGAGGCAGTGTGATGGCATGGGCATGCATGGCTTCCAGTGGTACTGGGTCCTTGGTGTTTATTGATGATGTGACAGAAGACAGAAGCAGCCGGATGAATTCTGTAGTGTTTACAGATATACTCTCAGCCCAGATTCAGCCAAATGCAGCAAAGTTGATTGGATGGCACTTCACAGTACAGCTGGAAAATGATCCAAAACACACTGCAAAAGTAAATCAGGAGCTTTTGAAGGAAAAGAAGTGGAATATTTTGCAATGGCCGAGTCAATCACCTGATCTCAACCCAATTGAGCATGTATTTCACTTGCTGAAGGTAAAACTAAAGGCAGAAAGACCCACAAACAAAGAACTGAAGACAGCTGCAGTTAGAGCCTGGAAAAGCACCAGAAAGGATGAAACCCAGTCTTTGGTAATGTCCATGGGTTCCATACTGCAGGCAGCCATTGCCAGTAAACAATTCTCAACAAAATATTAAAAATTTTATTTCTGATTTATATTCATTTGTCCAATTACTTTTGTTCCATTGATAAAGGGGGAGTGGCTACTCTTAAGAGCTGTAATTCCTAAACTCTTTCTCCAATGTGGATATATATACCTTCAAATTAAACCTGAGAGTGTGCACTGTCAGCCCATATCCATTCTCCAAATATATATATCTATGTATATATGTGTATACACACACACAGTGTGTGTATATAAAAAAAATCTTTTTTTTGCCTATGACATTAATAATACAAAGACAAGATTACGTTTGCCCATAACAGCTGTTGTGTTTTTTTGGTTATCTTTTGTTTCTTAGTCAGAATATTTTGTTGGTTCTGCTTCTAAACTTATATGGATTTTTTAATTTGTAGATTTGGCTCTACGCTGTCTTGTGCAAAATTACTCGAATCGAGTGAAGGAACCTCAGTGTAATCGCCTCAAGATAGAAACTGGAGATCCTACAGACAACGCAGAAGGCAAATCAACAAACACTTGTCCTGTTGAAGGGATTGTTATTGCTCTTTGTTGTCACCACCGTTGTGACTGGCACCACTATGTAGGCAGAGATTTCTTCCTAAAGCTGGGACTGGGACAGAGGGAATTTGAAGTTTTTCAGCGCATGTCAAGCTGGGCAACCTGTGGTTCCAGGAAACCAGGGCAGGTTTTAAATGAGAAAAGAGAACTTGAAGAGACAGAAGAGCATGACATAGATCTGAAAAACACAGACTGCAGTTCAGAGGGAGAACAAGGGTATGTTAACTCTCCCATGTGTGCTTATTTACTTTTTCTTTTTTAAAGAAAAAAAATGCCATACATACATACATATGACTGTACAAAAGTCCTGTCTTTTCTTCTGTTTTCTAGGCTGGCTTTGACTGTTGAAGAGAGAGAGAATTTAGGACATCTTTGCAAACTGCTCATAAATCATGGACGTCAGGATTACTTGAACAATATGGGCTACTCTGCTAGCCTTGAATATTATACAGAGCCTGAAGTGTCCTTAGAGAATGTTTTGTTGATAGCAGTACCTCGATCATAAAGCACAAACTCCTACATGACTGTAAACTGTTCACAAATCTTTTACCTTCTTACTGCCAGCGCAACATCCAGAATGTAAAAACAAAGTCCAATTTTATCTCTTCTCCAGGCAATGATGGTTTCTTTCTGCTAAGTGGATGAAGCCCTTTGAGAAATTCCAAAATCCTGAGCATATACACAATTAAAGTTCCTGCTATTAATCCTGCTTTGAAGTCTTTATTGAAGATCCATATGAGTGTCTGAAATATAGAACATGGTTAACCTAAGCTCATCTGATTTAATCTTGCTTAGAGGTCCTGTCAGCACATTTTATATCTCCATTTTAGCTATTTACTGAAAAATGTGTGCATTTTACTCGCCTCTCTTTAGGCAATCCATGTTGTAGTCACAGATTTACAGATGTTGTTATAATAACTGGAATGCAATACTTCTTCATCATTCTCTCCCAGAATAGAGAACTTAGTTACGTTTAGAGTTGTGGCATGAGTCTGGAAGGTACAATTACTGTAAGTATTTAAAAGGCCATTCATATGGCCCCCCATCATGTTGGTACACCTGGGTACTAAGCAAAAGGCAAGACAGGTGGTGAGCTTTCACAAAGCAAACATTTATAGACACTGAATAAGCCACATTTTAGATTTTCTTCAATTGTGTTATAACTGCATCATAGTGTAGCTATAATCACATAATTGCACTTTGAAGAATTAAGTCACAAAAATAAATATTTCTCACTTACCTGAAGGCTAAAACAGGCTGCCACATCTACTCCAAAATAGTTGACCCATAAATGGAGTGACTAGCTTACTGCTATGTTTTTAGATGCAACTATGCAGTCCTTAGTAGGTGATGGCCAAGTAAAGGCCACACTTCTGGTGTAATGTGCTTTATTCTGTCTAGAGCAGGGGTGTCAAACTGGCTGCCCTCCAGCTGTTGCGAAACTACTAGTCCCATCATGCCTCTGCCTTTGGGAGTCATGCTTGTAACTGCCAATCTTGCAATGCCTCGTGGGACTTGTAGTTTGGCAACAGCTGCAGGGCCGCCAGTTTGACACCTGTGGTCTAGAGGAAGTATAATCTTTGGTCTTACTGCATTTGGGTATTTTTTTCTTGTGTCTGGAAACACTCATTTCAGCAGATGCTATGTGGCTCTTCCTTGCACCAAAGGGAAGGATCAATAACCAGTCAAAGCTCCTATGTCCATAATTATCTGCTCTCTTCAAATAACATTAAAAACCTTTGCCATTTTATCTCTTCCTTTAAAGATGGACTTGCAAATGTAGCTGGTAGAGGTCAATGCATATCCAAAAGGAATATTTATAGGAATTTCAAGGAAAGCTTTAAAAGCATCCATTCCCTGACATAGCACACAAAAGGTTTTACTGTACATAAGAGCTTGCAATGTGTTCACATTTTGACAATGATAAGAGCACTTTCAGATAGGTATGAAAACATCACAGCTTCCACAACCAGAAAAGGATCACATGTTACGCTCTCGGATACTAGATGTAGATTCCTTTTTAGGGAATTAAGGCCAACTTCCTTCAATAATGGTTTAATAAAAAAGTCAGGTTTGATGCCAATTATTTTCTTGTATGTGCATGCATGTGATTATAGCTATGCTATGATGGATGTGTAACACAATTGAAGAAAATCTAAAATGTGACTTATTTCAGGGGGCCAGAAAAGAAAAATGTTTATTTTACAGAATGAAGAACAAGTAGTAGCTCTAGAGGAGATGGAAGTTAGCTATGGCCGATGAAGTCCAAGGGAAGGAGATGACATAGAGCTAAACCAAGGGAGAGGTGGCAAGACCAGAGGCAAAAAACTAGAGACTGATACATATATACTGTGTATATATATAACAGATAGGAGCACTAAAACAGTGCCAACTTTCTATAAGATAAACATCAGTTGATGCCAGTCAATGAAACCTAGAAAACAAAGTCCCTTTAGAACTGGCATCGGGATCCTAACATGGAAAATGTTGTACCCAAATAGGAGAATGGGGGCTTTCCATGGTAGAGAGGTCAAAGAAAATCCTGAGGGGAGAAAAGAAAAAAACACTACCTAGAAAAAAAGGGTATTACTGTTATTGGATAATCTGGGCTATCCAGAAAATCTGAAGAAAAAAGTGTGCAGACTTGATCAGATGCCAGAAATCTCTTTTCACACACAGCTCTGATCACAAGGGCACCATTCATAAAGTAAAGCAAGAACTATGTGGGTAGGGCTTAGCCCAAAATGCAGCTTATGTTTAGGCAGGATGTTTAGAATTTAAAGACTGATCCATTCACTTTGAAGGTGAGCTCCAGACAAATATAACCTCCCTTGCGGTATTCTCGAGTGTAGCTCGGGGTTAAATTTCTTTACCAAAAGCGGAAACCCAGAGCTATACTCGAGATTACCCTGCAGCGTTGCTCTGGGATTCCCTGTTTCACTTACCTTGTCCTGCTCTCCCGCGATGTCACCCCTGCAGCGTCCCCGGCCATCTCCTCCGGCTGATGCCGACATCCGTCTTCTGGGTTCTGGTCCCTGCGAGCATCGGGACGTACGGGGGACGGAACCGGCGGGAAATTCAAAAATTTTAAAAAGTGACATTCACTAAATACACTAAAATCACATAGTATAACATTTCTGTATCAAACCATTTCACATACATTTTGTCCCTAGTGCTTTGTCCTGTGCCCTGCCTGCATTTTTACTGTTCTTTCTGCCTGGAAACTGGGAAATGTCCATGGCGTCCAAAAAGCGTCCCTTTATGTCAAAAGTGGTTTTAGACCAGCGATAGTAAATTAGAACCACTTGCAGAATTGAGTGATGAGTGACACTGAAAATGATTTTACGACTAAGCTCAGCAATATGCGAACTTGGCGCTATATTTCAAATTTCAGTGTTTTTGGTTTGATTATATTATTTAATTAAATTTATTATTATTATTATATTTTTTTATGATTATTTATTGTATTATAATTTATGATTTCGTGTTTCAAATTTTATCATACCCGGGATGTTTACTAGACTCTTGTTCGAACAGATTTCAGTGAGTTATTCCTAAAAATTACAGGCCTACAATAAAAAAACAACATATTTCCATGCAAAAAAATGTACTGCTTTGAGCACAGAAATATTGACATAATCATACCGCTAGGGAGGTTAAAAGACACAAATTGATGCAACTCTGCATTCAATAATATGTCCCTCCATTAATTTATTTTAATACAGTTGTGGGCCTATTTATAAAGCACTGAATGTGGCATTCAGCAAACATTTACTGCAGGTAAATCTTCTAGGTGCATGTGTTTGAATGACAATGATTGATTTAGTACCAGTAAATGTTTGAAAGTCACATTACATTTAAGTGCCTGAGACTGACTGGCAGCACTTGGACTGTGTGAAGATTTGCTGCATGCATGTTATTACATTACTTGTATAGCGCCGTCAATTTACGCAGTGCTTTTACATATATATTGTACATTCACATCAGTCGCATATGTACTGACATGCACAAACTAACAAAAGGAGAGAGCAGAATGAGCAGAGCGGCGGCTTCAGCCATTTAATGCTACTCTTTTTTACATCTAATGAGCAGGCTGAGGGCAAGGACGTGACACTGCTACAGTATATTCCCTAAATTGACTCTGTCAATAGTTTTACAAGTGTTAAAAAGAGCTTCTTGCAAAAAAAAGTTAATATTTACCCTAGTCCTCATTCACATGGGCACTGTGGCTCATACAGTGTGAATTAGTGCCTTGTTTTTTTGGCTGGAACTGCATGAAGGCAGTCTATATTACTCTATATGGACAGAGTGACTGTATAAGCCCAAGCCCAGCTGCTTGTCCTTATGTGACGTGTACAGAGGTGGTTGAGTGGCCCCTAACGCAGACAGTGTACATTCAGGGCTATTCACTGTTCCCTGCATGACCATCCTGTACAAACACTGGGGGAGATTTATTAAAACTGGTCCACTCAGAATCTGGTGCAGCTGTGTGTAGTAGCCAGTCAGCTTCTAATTTCAGTTTGTTCAATTACGTAATAAAACTTGAAAGCTGATTGGTTTCTATGCAGAGCTGCACCAGATTTTACACGCTCCCGTTTTAGTAAATAACCCCCACTGTGTCCCTATAGGGTAATTTAGACTAGCTGAATGAGGACTATACCTTATTCTTTCCAGATAAGCCTGTTTAAACATTAAATTAGTGAAAAAGTTGCTTTAAATAGAACAGAGAAAGTGTAGCAGAGCTGTGTAAATCTTAGAAATGAATGCACAGAACTGCAAATCTTTTGACAGTTAAAATAACTCCTTGTATGAAATCTGTTTATTTAAATGTTTGCCTGAAGTTCAGCTTTACATAGAAAATTCCTAAATTGCATTGTTTTTGTGAGGCTGCAAATAGAAAAGGAAAATGTTGGATGACAGACTGATAACAATAAAATTGTAGGCTGCTTCCCATAGCCATTGGGACACACACACCTGAGTGGTTGCATTTTAGGATCTCCTGGATATAGACATACATGAACTGTAGGCCAAACAGCTCTCTCTCGCCCTCTTCTTCTTCATCATCACTGGGTGGTAGAGTAATCTGAAGCTCTAATGGGTTATCCCTGAAATTTACAAACCTGAGGACAAAATAATATGTTTAAAAACATGGACATTTTATTCAGTCTTACAATAGTCTTCAATATTTCTCAGTATATTTAGGTTATAAGCATATACAGCATTTGTAAAATCATACTTTGGCTAGTATTAAACTGAATGCTGGCAGAACACCTACAGGGAATAATGGCTTTTGTATAATGTTCCTTCCCTTTCAAAGTGATCAGGAGTGTTTTGGTATAGTGTCAAAGCCTTATACAGGGCTATTGGTTGTTCTGCATAAACTAAGATAGAGTGCAATAACATACAATAATGGGCATAGATAAAGTGTCCATATGCATAAATAAAATATCCGTATGCTTTCAGTTATACACACCAGTTTCCAAGTTGCTTGCTCAATAAAATGTCAATGCAAAAAGTGATCTCTTCAAATGGGTATTAACGTTGTGCCATTTTATGTCATACAGTGCTTCTGTGATCCTTCACCACCAACACAGAAAACTCATCAGATTTATATGACTACCTATTACAGGTTAGTCATAAAACGCTTAGTAGCGTAGGTTTTCACCATCCATCTTTCTTTGGGTCCAGCTGTGCTCCTTCCACTTTGTGAAACTCATACTGTATGTGGAGGGAGACTACCATAGTATAAAATCCTTAAAACCTTTATTATATTAAAAATACTTCCACAATGCCTACTCACATTAACAGGTGCATAGCCTTGCACCGGGTTAAATACACATGTTGTACCACATAAGGAGTGTTAGGATATAGCTCAGTGTTATGATACTGCCACCTTCTTGCAACCCTTCCAACTCCTAGATGCACCACTTCTGGTTTTGCTGTACGGGGACATCACTTCCTGCTATGCATCGACGTGGTGTTTCGTCGTCCTGATGTTCTCAAGAGGCACCACCTCAAGAGGCATAGTAGGCATTGTGGAGGTACACTATAATGCCAAAAGTATTGGGACACCCCTCTAAATCATTGGATGGGGGTGTTCTGATCACCTCCATGGCCACAGGTGTATAAAATCAAGCACCTAGGCATGCAGACTGCTTCTACAAACATTTGTGAAAGAATGGGTCACTCTCAGGAGCTCTGTGAATTCAAGTGTGGTACCGTGATAGGTTGCCACCTGTACAATAAGTCCATTTGTGAAATTTCCTTGCTACTAAATATTCCATGGTCAACTGTTAGTGGTATTATAACAAAGTGGAAGCAACTGTGAACAACATCAACTCAGCCATGAAGTGGTAGGCCACATAAAATGACAGAGCGGGGTCAGCGCATGCTGAAGTGTGCAGAAGTCGCCAACTGTCTGCACAGTCAATAGCTAAAGACCTCCAAACTTTGTGTGGCCTTCCGATTAGCACAACAGTGTGTAGAGAGCTTCAGGGAATGGGTTTCCATGGCCGAGCAGCTGCATCCAAGTCTTACATCACCAAGTGCAATGCAAAGCATTGGATTCAGTGGTGTAAAGCACGCCGCCACTGGACTCCAGAGCAGTGGAGACATGTTCTCTGGAGTGACGAATCACGTTCTCTGTATGGCAATCTGATGGATTGGTTTGGCAGTTGCCAGGAGAACAGTATTTGCCTGACTGCATTGTGCCAAGTGTAAAGTTTGGATGGAGGGGAGATTGTGGTGTGGGATTGTTTTTCAGGGATTGGGCTTGGCCCCTTAGTTCCAGTGAAGGAACTCATAAAGCGTCAGCATACCAAGACATTTTGGACAATTTCGTGCTCCCAACTATGTGGAAACAGTTTGGGGATGGCCCTTTCCTGTTCCAACATGACTGCGCATCAGTGCTCAAAGCAAGGTCCATAAAGACATGGTTGAGCGAGTTTGGGGGGGAGGAACTTGCACAGAGTCCTGGCCTCAATCTGATAGAACACCTTTGGGATGAATTAGATCGGAGACTGCAATCCACCAGTGCACAATGCAAGGTCCATAAAGACATGGGTGAGCGATTTTGGGGTGGAGGAACTTGACTGGCCTGCAACCTGACCTCAACCCAGTAGAACACCTTTGGGATGAATTAGAGCGGAGACTGCGAGTCAAGCCTTCTTGTCTGACATCAGTGCTTGACCTCACAAATGCGCTTCTGGAAGAATGGTCAAACATTCCCATAGACACACTCCTAAACCTTGTGGACAGCCTTCTCAGAAGAGTTGAAGCTGTTATAGCTGCAAAGGGTGGGCCAACGCAATATTGAGCCTAAGACTGGCATGCCATTAAAGGATAAATTCACCTTTGGGAACATGTTACACGTTCCACCCGTTTTTAGGGTGGAACATGTAACGTTCCCATAGCTGACAGATAATATGGGGAGAAGTTTCCCTGTACTATCTGTCATATTCATAACAGCTCCGCCCACACGGCCACATCATTCATTCACAGAATTCCATGAATGAATGAACAAGTCCCGACAGCCTTAGCAGCTGCGGGATTGTAGTTTTAAATAAACCACCATGGCACTGTGGAGCACCGTGGTAGTTCATTGAAGCTTCCTGTCAGTATATCTGCTTGACCATACATCCCGTATGGCAAGCAGATATTCTGATAGGTTTGCAGGAGACCTGCATGGCATCAGCAATCTACTGATCACTGGTTCAATGCTTTCCAGGCTCCTTTGGGCAAAAATAATAAATGCACATTTTTTACACCTGCAAAAAATGTGCATTTATTACTTTTGTCCAAAAGGGGAACTTATCCTTTAACCACTTGCTAACCCCACTATAACCAAATGACAGCTACAGAGCAGTTGTCCAGTTCAGGGAGGGCAGCATAAGATGTCCTCCCAGAACACGCGCTCCCACATACCCCCAGCAGTGCGCGCCCAGCCTCTCTCTGTGATCTCTGTGTTCCACGGACACAGCTGATCATGTGATGAGGTAAAAGGCCAATCACAGTGGACATTTACCACGTGATCAGCTGTGTCCGATGACACAGCAGATCATGGAGTAAATACAGATCCCGGTAATCGGCAGCACGTTGACAGCGTGAGGAAAGTACTGGCAATAACCAGCAGCTGTCACAGAGCAGATCGACACTGATGATCAGTGCCCCCCAGCAGTAGCTACCCATCAGTGCTGCTGCCCAGCAGTGCCACCAATCAGTACCGTTAGTCAGCACTGCCTATCAGTAACCATCATTGCAGCATATCAGTGCAGCAACATCAGTGCCACCTCATCAGAGCAGCCTATCAGTGCTGCCTGTCCATGCCACCTCATCAGTGCTGCCTATCAGTGCAGCCTCATTAACGCACATCAGTGAAGGAGGAAAATTACCTGTTTGCAAAATTTTATAATAGAAACAAAGAAAAACTTTTTTAAAAAAATGTTTTGCTCTTTTTTTGTTTATAGTGCAAAAAATAAAACACCCAGTGATGATTAACTACCACCAAAAGAAAGCTCTATTTGTGTGAAAAAAATTTCAAATGGGTAGTGTTGCATGACCGCGCAATTTTCATTCAAAGTGTGACAGCGCTGAAAGCTGAAAATTTGCCTGGGCACGAAGGGGGTAAAAGTGCCCAGTGAGCAAGTGGTTAACCCTTTCACGCCGACACCTCCCGGCCCTTTAGGGGGTTTTTGATGCCGGGGGAGGCAGGGTTTAGGGTCATGTGACCGCCATGCTTGGCTGTCACGGCAGTCACATGATCAGAAAGGTCCTGATCGCAAGGAGAGATCGGGACCTTTCTGTGGGATGTCCACACGTACTGGGAGCGTGCAGGGCGTGCAAGAGAATGACCATACAAAGTTCAAGCTGTCATGCAGTTTGTGGCTTTATTCAAAAGGCCAAATAGTTGTTGGATAAGTAGATTCTTGCCAGCAGTTATAAATGCTGCGCGGTGTAAATGCTGTTGTAAATGCTGCCAGCAGTTGTAAATGCTGCCTGCAGCTGTCTGCAAACAGCTGCAAGTGTCAGATTTGTACTTTGTACAAATCTATGGTGGGCTCTGCCACTGCTTTAATGTAACTGCTTATCTGGGGGGGTTACATGTGTACAAAGCCTCTGTCTTTCCCTGGACTCGGCCAGTGTGCATCTAAGGTAAGCATTTCTGCTGAGTTTTGGCCACACATAAATTGGCTGCCGCTAGACTGCCGCTGGCTGTCAGTGTGAATACAGCCTAAAACTTCTCAGACAAACACTTCCTAAGAGAACGAAGTAAGGGAAAGAAAGGGAGACCTACATGGCATTCTTTTCGAGGGACACTAAAGGTAATGGAGGGAGAAAAAAAGAAGAAAGAGTATAAAAACTATGAAGGAGGAGGGCTAAACTGAAAATCAAATATGTCAAGAACAGTTCCCCGGTCATCAACCCAGCACAATTCTGGTTTGTTACAAGGCCAGTAGCTAAGGCAGCGATCTGGAAGCTCTAGCTGAATTTAACCAAGTAATTGTTAGTATCTAGAGGAACATTTTAAATTGTTCCAATAATACTATTTTTTGTTTTTATCAGAGGTGTTGTCTTTGAAAGTGGCTGTATAGTCCTCCATTTCTTGAATATCATTCACTCTGGCAAACCATTGTCTCAGTGTTGGGGGGGCACAGTATTAATCTATGGATGTGTCTTGTTTTGTGTCAATGGCTGAGGCTGGTGATATAGTGTAAAGGTGTGAGGATCTTTTTCTTGGCGCACATTAATCCCCTAAAACTAACTGACCATTATTTGAATGGTGGTGAAAATGTAACATCTTCATGAGTGCTGGATAGATGTACCTAAAAAGGATTCACTGAATGCAAGTAATATATGTGTACCTCTTTGTTTATTGTGATCCCAGAACAATAGCACACTGACAGAGTGTGGAGTTTAAGTATTCACTGGATTTATGTTTAGATCACAAGTTAAAAAGATCCGGCACCACTGATATACTTAAAGTGTTACTAAACCTACAACAGTAAAATCAGTCTGTATATGCAGTAAAGCATGCTTGTTATACCCACTGTGGAACCTAAGGGGTTAATCCTCTGTATTGTGTAAAAAGGCTGTTTGATCCTTTCTTCTCTCTTCCTCCCCTTTTTCAAGCGACCACCACTTATCTCCAGACTGAACTGTAGGCATGCACATTATTATTATTATTATTATACAGGTTTTATATAGCGCCAACAGTTTGTTCAGTGCTTTACAATATAAAGGGAGACAATACAGCAACAATACAGTTCAATACAAGAGGGATAGGAGGGCCCTGCTCCTAGGAGCTTACAATCTAGGAGATGATCAGTTTGGTGTGTGTTGCTAGAGTGGGTTTTTTTTTCTTGGGAGAGTGCATGTGATCAGCACAGGGCCAATCAGCACTGTCCAGACAAAGGTCAGGAGGTTTGTATCCTCCTAGAGCAGAAAGAAAACTCCTCCTACAAGCTTTAGCTAGTGCTGGGCTGGACACAGATAGAAACCACAAGACTGCTCTAACTGCTGATGAGAAAAGGTATTTAGCAGTTTATATTTACTAAAATAATTGCATTTCCATGTTGTGTGTGCTGTGGGAGACCAGATATAGTGAATGCAGGGTCCTGGGTTTAGTAACACTTTAATATAATTATTTATATACTCAGACAAAATACATATAGTTTGCAATGATATTTTTACAAAATGCCTACCGAAGGTTGTGCAAGCTCTGCAGACAAAGTGGAATCTGTTTCATAAGATTATTGGTCAGGACCAAAGTACTGAGGTTTTTCAGGCAGCTGATGGAATCTGGAAGTTCAGAAATTTTATTGCGTTGAAGCCACAAAGTGTGTAATGTCTTCATCCTATGTAACAATAACCACAGTGAAAGGAACTCCAGGCAACAAGAAAAGACAATTGGTGAACTACCATTGCTATCTAGTAAACACAACTGTGCATAATTTAGAAAATTCACTATATTTCCCATAATCCAAGTTTTGTGTGATCCCATGAAGCAGGGATTCACCTATTGAAGCATGTTATGCTTGACTTCAGCATCCCCACCCAAATACAGGTTTTAATCTGATTTGTAGAAATAAGAAACTTCTTAAGCTGGTCATACATCATTAGAAATTTGTTCGGCCATTCACACAGAAATTAAGAAAAATCATTCAGCAGAGCATTTAATCTTGTCAATATTCAATCAACTAATTTCAATTTACATTTTTGTCCAGACTGCTACTTGAATGGCAAGTTTAAAGATGTTTAAACAACTACTAGAAGATACTCACTTGTCTATCTCTTTGGGCAGGTCACTTAGTTTGTTGCTACCCATGTCCAACCATTCCAGTGCTGGGAGATCCAAAACAGCCGTTGGGATTGCTGAAAATTGATTCATGTTTAGGTCCAGATGGGTGACCTGTCTCAGTTTACTAAGCTGGAGAAGTGATAAAACCAAACATACAATTCAAAATAATTATTTTGAAGGTAAATCATTTTTGGCTAATTATCTGAATTTCCCTAAGATATATGTGTGTACAACGCCAGTTGGTTTTCAATACGCCAGAAAAGAGAACTTGTCATCTACAAGTACAGAGGTCCAGCTTGTGGCCTAAACCTGTAATAAACTCAAACAGAAATGTTATATATTGCAGCTTGCCATTTCTTAGATGCGATGGCTGCATTAGCTTTCTTATTTGTTTATTTATTGCAGGTGCCTATATAGCACTGTTAATTTATGCAGCGCTTTACATATAGTATACATTCACATCCGTCCCTAAGGCTGGACATACATTATACAATTTTCTTGAGAATTTTGCTATAGATTTACCAAAAACCATATAATATGTGGTCAAACTTACACAACACTTTCAATTGTATCCAATTAGGGAGGCCCTTGCACTACATAGTTGAAGGTAAATCTAAAGGAAATTGGGCAGAAAATTGTATTGTGTATGGCCAGCCTAACCCTCAAGGAGTGTACAATCTAAAGTCCCTAACTTCTTCTTAAGACAGGGTTTAAACTAGTGCGGTGCGGGACACCACATGTAATTCGCACAGGAATCGCACCGTATTCCTGTGCGAAATACATGCTATGTCTGTGCAGTGCAATTTGAGACATTTTGTATGGTTCAAATCCCATCACATCCGCACCAAAAAAGTGCAGGACCCTTTTTTTTACCCGCACCTGAATCGCAGGTTTCTGGCAATCACACTGCATTTTGCGAACTGTTTTGGGGTGTCATTAAACACCACCAGATTCCATGAACGAACTGTTTTGGGGTGTCATTAACACCACCAGATTCCATGAACGCCATGCGATTGCAATGCAGTGCAGGAAAGCACAGGAACAACGTTTCCCGCACCACATCAGTGTGAACCCGGTCTTAGGCTTTTTTCCCTTTATTTTCACCTGTTGATCTGGCTTTTCAACTTCCTTTACAAGAACAAACTATCCAGCAAAAGTGGCAGTTAGATGGTTGAGACAAACCATATAACACCGACAGGGGTGCTTGCAATGATCAGCTTTTATCCCAAAATGAAAAAAAAAAAACTGTTGCTGTAACTGCTGGCGTTCGGTTTTAATTCCGTAGTCAAGTCCATCTAAATCTGCGAGTGCATTTAACACTACCTTCTCCCAGGTTGACAGTGCTGCTGTCCAAAGGTAAGACAGGAAGTATGTTACTGGCTGGATCACCAGGTAAAAGGAATGGAAAAAAAAAGAAAATTAATGCAGCCACCATATTTAAGGATTGGTAAGCTGCAATATACAGACTACCTCTCTGAGAAGGAACAGAGGTTATGACAGGTGCTTTTCCATAAGGTATTGATAACACCTGTGGATGGTCACTCAGAGCAGCAAATCAAGCATAATAAGCACCAATTAGGAGCTTTAAAATTGTGATGACTCCAGCTCCTTCCTAGACATTTACTGGTGTGTGTTACAAACATGGTGAAGGCAAAAGAGAATGGTCCAGGAAGACAAAGAAAGAGGTGATTGTCTGTGGCTATTAAGAAGATTGCAGAAGATGTTAAACACATACCAAGAGACACCTTAGGAAGCATCATTCGCAAATTCAAGGCAAAGGGCACTGTTGAAACGCTACCACCTGGTCGTGGCAGAAAGAAGATGGCTGACTTCGACTGCTTTGTGCGCTAGGTCGATAAATATTGGGATATCAACGCATTTCTAACATTTTTGGCTCTATACACCACCACAATGGATTTGAAATGAAACAAACGAGATGTGCTTTAACTGCAGACTGTCAGCTTTAATTTGAGGGTATTTACATCCAAATCAGGTGAACGGTGTAGGAATTACAACTGTTTTGCCTCCCACTTGTTAAGGGACCAAAAGTAATGGGACAATTGGCTTCTCAGCTGTTCCATGGCCAGGTGTGTGTTATTCCCTCATTATCCCAATTACAAAAGATCCAGAGTTCATTTCAAGTGATCTATTTGCATTTAGAATCTGTTGCTGTCAACTCTCAAGATGAGATCCAAAGAGCTGTCACTATTAGTGAAGCAAGCCATCATTAGGCTGAAAAAACAAAACAAACCCATCAGAGAGATAGCAAAAACATTAGGCGTGGCCAAAACAACTGTTTGGAACATTCTTAAAAAGAAGGAACGCACCGGTGAGCTCAGCAACACCAAAAGACCCAGAAGACCACAGAAAACAACTGTCGTGGATGACCGAAGAATTCTTTCCCTGGTGAAGAAAACACCCTTCACAACAGTTGGCCAGATCAAGAACACTCTCCAGGAGGTAGGTGTATGTGTGTCAAAGTCAACAATCAAGAGAAGACTTCACCAGAGTGAATACAGAGGGTTCGCCACAAGATGTAAACCATTGGTGAGCTTTAAAAACAGGACGGCCAGATTAGAGTTTGCCAAACGACATCTGAAAAAGCCTTCACAGTTCTGGAACAACATCCTATGGACAGATGAGACCAAGATCAACTTGTACCAGAGTGATGGGAAGAGAAGAGTATGGAGAAGGGAAGGAACTGCTCATGATCCTAAGCATACCACCTCATCAGTGAAGCATGGTGGTGGTAGTGTCATGGCGTGGGCATGTATGGCTGCCAATGGAACTGGTTCTCTTGTATTTATTGATGATGTGACTGCTGACAAAAGCAGCAGGATGAATTCTGAAGTGTTTCGGGCAATATTATCTGCTCATATTCAGCCAAATGCTTCAGAACTCATTGGAGGCCGCTTCACAGTGCAGATGGACAATGACCCAAAGCAGACTGCAAAAGCAACCAAAGAGTTTTTTAAGAAAAAGAAGTGGAATGTTATGCAATGGCCAAGTCAATCACCTGACCTGAATCCGATTGAGCATGCATTTCACTTGCTGAAGGCAAAACTGAAGGGAAAATTCCCCGAGAACAAGCAGGAACTAAAGACAGTTGCAGTAGAGGCCTGGCAGAGCATCACCAGGGATGAAACCCAGCGTCTGGTGATGTCTATGCATTCCAGACTTCAGGCTGTAATTGACTGCAAAGGATTTGCAACCAAGTATTAGAAAGTGAAAGTTTGATTTATGATTATTATTCTGTCCCATTACTTTTGGTCCCTTAACAAGTGGGAGGCACATATGCAAACTGTTGTAATTCTTACACTGTTCACTTGATTTGGATGTAAATACCCTCAAATTAAAGCTGACAGTCTGCAGTTAAAGCACATCTTGTTCGTTTCATTTCAAATCCATTGTGGTGGTGTATAGAGCCAAAAATGTTAGAATTGTGTTGATGTCCCAATATTTATGGACCTGACTGTATTACATTTTGGGGCGTTTTTGGTTTAGTACAACTTTAAACTGTTGCACAGCTTAGCTGGCTATACCCACTGATGAGTGCATGCTAACATTTTGGAATGATGGTCATCTATGTGACTTAGTCAATTAATAAGAACATATGTGTGGTCATCATTTTTTAGTGTATATAGAAAAGGAAAGGTTTGATTTCTATTCCCACAGAGATTTTTCAACAAGCTGGAAAATGTCTCTGGCTTTTATGTAATAAGTAGTACTTTTGTTTAACAGAAATGCTTGGAACTGTCCTCTGTGGCAACCTTACAGTATGTAGCCAGACTCTTACCCTTTCATACACAGTAAGGTTTATCTACTAAAGGAGCAGAGCATGTTCACTTCAATTATTATTATTATTATACAGGATTTATAAAGTGCTAACAGTTCGTTCAAACATGTGAAAAGAAAGTCAGTTTACTTATTTTATGTGCACGTTTGGGTAATGAAATCAATATTCAAACAATTTTTTATTTTTTGAAAATTCTTTTTATTTATATATTCACACAATTTACATATGTGTTTCTGCATGTGCTTTTTTTGATATGTTCCAGTGTGTTTTTTTCCCCTCTATTTTTCTTTATCTTAATTCAGGATATGTCCATTTTGGTGCACTTTTGTTGCGTCCTTGTGCATTCCATTGTGTTTTTCATGCATTTTACTGCATTTCATACAGAAACAATGCAGCATGTTCTACTTGTGTCGACTACACTGGAAAAGCACTGCACTGCTGTGATCTGTGGCTATTGGGATACATGGGTACATGTGTTTCTGATGCATTTTAAAAACATGTGGACTGCATTTGGTGTGCCCAACCCTAAATCAGCTTCAGTGCTTTCATCATATTGTTTATGGTCACCCTTATGCTGATTTACAATTTTCTAGCCATTTCTACTACATCTTTTGCTTGCAGAAATGATAAAACAGATCAACGCAATCTATAACCTCCCTTCTATATAGATATAAGTTTATCAACTTCTGGTGGTACGTTGTCTTTATCTTTTTAACATTTTTGTGATTGAAAAATGAAAGTGCTAGTAATTGCTAGAAATTTTCCAACATTAGAACTCAACTTCTCAGATGATTTAATTTTGTAATATTGAGCATAGACAATTACTTGGGTTGCACCAAACTGAAATTGATGTGCTGTAAGTGATATACTTGCCAGTAAAAGTTTAAACCCCAAATTATTTGAGAAGTTGAACCTCAACTCAATGTTGCTTTTAAACTTACCTGTGCAGTGGTTTCCTCCCATACACCCTTCCCCACCCCCTACTCTACATGCTAAATGTTAGTTTGGCTAGAGTAAAAGGGAGTAAGTCCAAATATCTACCGTATTCCTCACTCCAGCGGGCTTCATGCAACTGGTTCCCTGAAACAGCTTCACTTAACTGACCAAACACTTACAACTCTCTGACACCATCATGCACAATGCAGTAGGGTGAGGACCAACCCCCAACCTGGAGACAGGCTGTGGGGGAAAGAGCTGACTGCTGGTTATGAGGAATAGGGTAATTATTTCTCTTTATTTTTTTCCCCCAGCCTAACAAGCATTTACCCTGTGCAAGGGAGGACCCTACGGAATGGTTACATTTAAAAGCAGCCCAGAGTTGGGTCACTTTAGTTTTTCCTGTTACCTGGTCTGGTAGATGAGAAATGTCTTTATTCACAGCAAGTTCCAGCCTTTCTAAACTCTCACAGTCACCCAATTCTGCAGGGACCTCAGATATGCGGTTGTAGCTGAGCAGAAGTTCTCGGAGCTTAGTCAGTCTGCCTGGAAATGGTTATAAATAAAGTTTAGTTCATAATACTCTCAGTAGTAAAAATAATGTGTGCCTTCAAATAAATACTGAGGTCAGTGTCACTTCCTTCTTCCCTGTATGTCACATCCATCCTGTGCCCCCTTGTGTTGCCTTCACAGGCTAATTGAATTAAAGTTACTTATATGGACATGTAGTGTACCACTGCCATCTAGTGGCAAACATGTATGGCAGGTCTCCTCTGGATATGTAAGCTCTCAGACAGGAAGTGACTCTTGGTTTAGGAAGCTCGTCAGCCATTTTAGACTTCTATTCACTGGGGATGCAGTGTGCTTGCTTCTCTCCCAAGGGGCTTGAGACATCATCACCTGTAAGTGCCTTTCTTCTGTGTCATCTGTCATTTATGTTACACTAGTTATTCTATGTATACTGATATGCTGTTATTGTATTGTGTTTCAGTTTCACCTATAAAATAAAGTTGGATTCTTTGGTAGACAACACAAGCAGTGGGCTTCTGTTTGCTGGAGATTCTGACAAGGGTTTAGCTGTCCGTTTTAGAGCCACACATAGTCAGTGTTTTGAGAACGGAACAGTGAAAAGGTGAAGCGCAACAAGCCTGGAGATAGGAGTCACTGCACAGACAGAATGAGTCTAAGATCAGGAAGACAGTATAAGGCTGAAGATCAGTCACCCGGGACACATCAAGGCAGGGAGAGCATGCCAAGTGTCCAGCAAGATGATGCACGCTCACACTTGTCTAGATCAGCAAGGTCCAGTCAGATTTCATCAGCAAGTGCCCTTTTAGCCAGAGCTCGCGCCAAAGCAGAGGCAGCTCGTGTTCAGCTAGAATTCGCTGAGAAAGAGGCCACCATTATGAAAGAAAGGGCTGAGAAAGAGGCCGCCATTATGAAAGAAAGGGCTGAGAAAGAGGCCACCATTATAAAAGAAAAATTAGAACAAGAAGCAAAATTGCATATTCTTCAGCGGCAGTGTGCAGCCGCCGCCGCTGCAGCAGAGGCCGCAGCTTATGCCGAAATGGAACGGTCTGGAAGTGGGTCTATCCACGAAGGCCCATATGTGCCTGAGAAACCCCTCTCCTCAGTAAAACGCACAAGGAAGTATGTCCAAGAACATTCAAGCAGCAATGCAACAAAACAGTTCCCCAATCCAGAGTCAGCTGAATCTAAACCAAGACCAGCAGAATCCCTGAGTGTACAAAAACAAACCAATCCAGAATCAGCTGAATCTAAACCAAGACCAGCAGAACCCCTGAGCGTACGAAAACAAACCGATGAGGCCAGCAGAACCAGAGCGATTAAAAATGAATCCTTACCACAGCAATCCAAACACCAGAGTACACAAGATGTCACTAAATATCTTATCTGAAAAGAAATGGTTAATTCGGGCTTTCTCAAGTTTGATGACTGCCCTGAGAATTACTGGGCATGGAAGTCTTCTTTTCTGTATGCAGTCAAAGACTTAGGCTTATCAGCAGCCGAGATGCTGGATCTGATGATAAAATGGCTTGGGACGGAGTCAGCAGAACATGCAAGAAGGATGCGCAGGGTACATATATTTAACCCTCCCAGGAGGACTTGATATGGCCTGGCAAAGGCTAGAGGAAAGATATGGATCACCAGAGGCAATTGAAGGTGCTCTAATGAAAAGACTTGAGTCTTTTCCCAAGCTAAACAGCAAAGACAACTTGAAACTGCAAGAGCTGGGTGATATTCTTTGGGAAGTCCAATGTGCCAAAGAAGAAGGCTATTTAAGAGGACTTGCACATTTAGATACCGCCAGCGGTACTAAGCCAATAGTGGAGAAACTACCTCACAACCTGCAAGAAAAATGGGTGAGTGTTGGAGCCAAATACAAAGAAGAATATGATGTCCCCTTCCCCCCTTTCTTTGTGTTTTCTAGATTTGTACAGCAGCAAGCAAGGATCCGGTGTGATCCCAGCTTTTCCTTCATCACCAGCAGTCAACTGCCAAAGGCAGAAAAGCCACTTTGATCCTACAATAGGACTTCAGTGATCGCCCACAAGACAACGGTTCCCTCTGAGGACCCAGGCTGTCCAAGCAGCTACAAGGTAAACACCTTTGAAGGTCCTGACAGACTTTGCCCACTTCATAAAAAGCCCCATCCTCTAAACAAGTGCAAAGGGGTTCAAAAGTAAACCCATCAAGGAAAGGATAGCCTTTCTTAGACAAAACGGCATCTGCTTCAAGTGTTGTGGATCCACTAAGCATCTAGCAAAAGACTGCAAAATACAAGCGGATTGCTCAGAATGTGGCAGTAACAGACACATCACAGCTTTACACCCTGATACATTGCATCAACCACTAGAGGTCGCTGAAGAGCAGAAAGATGAGGGCAGGGAGCAAAAGGATAATTCAGCTACCCCAGTAATGTCCAAATGCACTGAAATCTGTGGCGACAGTACAAGTCCACGCTCATGTGCCAAGATCTGCCTAGCAACAGTGTACCCCACAGGGAAAAAGGAGAAGGCAGTTAAGATGTATGTAGTTCTGGATGAACAGAGTAACAGGTCACTGGCAAGGTCAGACGTTTTCGATGCCTTCAACATTACATCAAGTGCTATCCCATACACCCTAAAGACATGTGCAGGAATGATAGAAACTTCAGCAAGAAGAGCTACTGACTTTACTATTGAGTCTCTTGACAAGAGAGTCCATCTCTCACTTCCATTTTGATAGAGTGTGATATGATACCGGATGATAAAACAGAAATCCCTTCACCAGAAGTAGCCCGTCATCATCCTCATCTCAATTCAATATCTCACCTTATTCCAGCTATCCAGACAGATGCCTCTATTCTTCTACTTCTTGGGAGAGACATTCTACAAGTACATAAGGTACGCCAACAAATTAATGGGCCCTTTAATGCCCCCTATGCCCAAAGACTTGACCTAGGGTGGGTCATAGTAGGAGAAGTTTGTCTAGGAGCAGTACATCGGCCTGACAGTGTCAATACGTCAAAGACATCTGTGCTACTGAATGGACGCACATCCCTTCTAAGTCCATGCCAAAACAGCTTTGTTGTGAAAGAAACCCTTAACATCCCAAAACCATACTGTGACTTTCCTTCTAGTTACAATAGAGACATTAGTAGTGGCATGGAGTCTGACACTTTAGGGAATTCAGTATTCCAGAGAACAAAAGATGACGACAAACAAGCAATGTCTATAGATGATCGAGCTTTTCTCCATATCATGGATAAAGAGACTTTCCAAGATGAAAACAACAATTGGGTAGCTCCCTTACCCTTTCGCACACCAAGGTGTTACTTAGCCAGTAACAGAGAGCAGGCCTTGAAGCGCCTGAACACATTATGTAAAACCTTGCAAAGAAAGCCTGAAGTGAAAAAGACTTTACAGAATTCATCAAAAGGATGCTTGATAATAATCATGCTGAAGTAGCACCGTCACTGGATGAAGGTAAAGAACACTGGTATCTGCCAATGTTTGGCGTTTACCATCCACACAACCAGACCAAATAAGAGTTGTGTTCGATTCCAGTGCTCAACATGGAGGTGTTTCATTGAATGATGTACTACTGAGTGGCCCAGATCTAAATAACACACTTCTGGGAGTCCTCTTACGCTTCAGGAAAGAGCCTATTGCTTTCACAGGTGATGTGCAACAGATGTTTTATTGTTTCCTAGTGAGAGAGGACCATCGTGACTACCTGCGTTTCCTGTGGTACAAGGATAATGACATAGCTAAAGAGGTGACAGAGTACAGAATGAGAGTACATGTTTTTGGTAACAGCCCGTCTCCTGCTGTTGCCATATACTGCATGCGCAAAGCTGCCCACAAAGGTGCAGAATGTTATGGTCAAGATGCCAAACGCTTTGTGATGAGACATTTCTATGTAGACGATGGACTTGCTTCAGCTAACACACCTGAAGGAGCAGTCGACATTCTCAACAAAGCAAAACAGATGCTGGCGGAGTCTAATCTGCGACTACATAAGATTGCCTCTAACAGCAAACAAGTCATGGAAGCTTTCACCGCAGAAGATAGAGCTAAAGATCTCAAAGACCTGTGCCTGGGAACAGACACCCTTCCTTTACAGAAGAGTTTAGGCCTAAGCTGGGATCTAGATAAAGACTGCTTTGTGTTTCAGGTTTCTTTAGCAGAAAAGCCATTCACAAGAGGAGGGATCCTATCTAGAGATGAGCGAAGTATTCAAAAATTCGATTCGACTGATTTGGCGAATTCGTGGAAAAATTTTGATTCGAGTCGAATATATTCGCTGCGAATTTAACTTATAAAAGGGTGTTTCTAGGCTTCAGAGAGCCTTTATATTAGTGCAGAACACTGTAACTTTAATTTTAATGCCCTTGGAGTCTGCTGGGGAAGAGAAATAATACTGACAGTCAGTATGACATGCAGATGAGTGCCGTCGATCTTAGAATCACCGCACACTTCACTCATTTGGGCAGTCACGGGGCCAAAACCAGAGTGTGGAGCCACAGTGTGGCGGTGGAGGCAGCAGCAATGGGAGGCCATACAGCACCCTATGACAAAAATGGAAACCACCAGCAGTGTGAGGAGACCTGAAAGTGGCGCATGGCAGAGTGTGGCGATGGAGACAGCAGCAATGGGAGGCCGTACAGGGACCCATGACACACTCTGGACCTGGCAGCAGCATGAGGAGGCGGTACAGGGGCCCATGACAGATTACGGGCCTGGCAGCAGCATGAGGAGTCGGTACGGGGGCCCATGGCAGATTAGGGGCCTGGCAGCAGCTATGGGAGGCCCGTAATCTGCCAGCACCCTATGACAAAAAATGGAACACACCAGCAGTGTGAGGAGACCTGAAAGTGGCACATGGCAGAGTGTGGCGATGGAGACAGCAGCAATGGGAGGCCGTACAGGGACCCATGAGAGACTCTGGACTTGGCAGCAGCATGAGGAGGCGGTACAGGGGCCCATGGCAGATTAGGGGCCTGGCAGCAGCTATGGGAGGCCCGTAATCTGCCAGCACCCTATGACAAAAAATGGAACACACCAGCAGTGTGAGGAGACCTGAAAGTGGCACATGTTTGGGGCATGATTCATGGCGGATTTAGTCAGTTGTGTCAGGAACTGGTGGTTTGAAATCCAGACTAATCCACGCCTGATTCATTTTCACAAACGTGAGTCTCTCCACACTTTGGGTGGACAGTCGTGTCCTCCGCGGAGTTGCAATACCTCCTGCCGCACTAAACACGCGCTCCGATGCCACGCTACTGGCCGGGCATGACAGCCTTTCAAGGGCAAATTCAGCTAGTTGGGGCCAAAGGTCAAGTTTCGTTGCCCAGTAGTCAAGGGGATTGTCTACCTCGGTTGGCAGGGTGCTGTCCAAGTAGGCCCAAGCCTGTTGTTTGAGGTCCTGCTCCAGGTCCACCTGATGCTGCTGCTGCTGCTGCTGCTGCTGCTGGTTAGTAGTTTCCTCACTGCGCTGGTGAAGAAAGCTACTCATCATCGACTGCAGACTGAGGCAGCTGCTGCTGGTGGAGCTGCCACTGCTCCTACCACCCCCACCCCTCCCCTGCTGCCATGGCAGCGGAACGCGAGCGCACAGGGCCCACAGTGTCTGAGGATGGACGTTGGCGCAGACAGGCAGAGACCAGCTGACTACATAGGTGGTTTTTATAGTACGTTATTTTGGCCTCCCTCTCAGCAGGTGTGAAAAAGGCCACCATTTTTGAACGGTAGCGAGGGTCCAACAAGGTGGACAGCCAAAAGTCATCCCTCTGTCTGATGGTTATTATTCGGCTGTCGGTACGCAAGCAAGCGAGCATGCTATGGGCCATTTGTGCCAAGGAATGCGAGGGACTCCCTGCCTCCATCTCCACAGCATACTGCCACGGTGCGTCTGGGTCCTCTGTCTCCTCTTCCTCCTCCTCTACCAGATGCTCCTGCTCCTCCACTCCTGTCCGCTGAGTGGAAAAACCACCACCCATTTCACTCAATAATTCCTGAGCACCAATGTCCTCCTCTACCTCCTCCTCTTCTTCCTGTCCTGCCCCCACAGGGGTCATGTGGCGTTGAGATCTGTGCGCCACGTCTACCGCACCCTGACCAGCCATTGTTAACAGCATTTGTTCCAGGACGTGCAACAGAGGAATGACGTCGTTCATCCCATAGTCCTGCCGACTCACGAATAGCGTGGCCTCCTCAAAGGGCCTGAGCAAGCGCAGGTGTCACGCATGAGCTGCCAATGGCTGACATCTAAGTTACACAGGGAGTACCTTTATCCGCTTTTAACATCAGGAAATCTGTGATGGCCTTTTGCTGTTCGTAAAGGCGGTCTAACATATGTAGGGTTGAATTCCACCTTGTTGCAACGTCACAGCATGAGGAGTCGGTACGGGGCCCCATGGCAGATTACGGGCCTGGCAGCAGCAATGGGAGGCCCGTAATCTGCCAGCACCCTATGACAAAAAATGTAACACACCAGCAGTGTGTGAGGAGACCTGAAAGTGGCACATGGCAGAGTGTGGCGATGGAGACAGCAGCAATGGGAGGCCGTACAGGGACCCATGACACACTCTGGACCTGGCAGCAGCATGAGGAGGCGGTACAGGGGCCCATGGCAGATTAGGGGCCTGGCAGCAGCTATGGGAGGCCCGTAATCTGCCAGCACCCTATGACAAAAAATGGAACACACCAGCAGTGTGTGAGGAGACCTGAAAGTGGCACATGGCAGAGTGTGGCGATGGAGACAGCAGCAATGGGAGGCCGTACAGGGACATGACAGACTCTGGACTTGGCAGCAGCATGAGGAGGCGGTACAGGGGCCCATGGCAGATTAGGGGCCTGGCAGCAGCTATGGGAGGCCCGTAATCTGCCAGCACCCTATGTCAAAAAATTGAACACACCAGCAGTGTGAGGAGACCTGAAAGTGGCACATGGCAGAGTGTGGCGATGGAGACAGCAGCAATGGGAGGCCGTACAGGGACCCATGACAGACTCTGGACTTGGCAGCAGCAATGAGGAGGCGGTATAGGGGCCCATGGCAGATTAGGGGCCTGGCAGCAGCTATGGGAGGCCCGTAATCTGCCAGCACCCTATGTCAAAAAATTGAACACACCAGCAGTGTGTGAGGAGACCTGAAAGTGGCACATGTGTGGCGATGGAGACAGCACAATGGGAGGCCGTACAGGGACCCATGAGAGACTCTGGACCTGGCAGCAGCATGAGGAGGCGGTATAGGGGCCCATGGCAGATTAGGGGCCTGGCAGCAGCTATGGGAGGCCCGTAATCTGCCAGCACCCTATGTCAAAAAATTGAACACACCAGCAGTGTGAGGAGACCTGAAAGTGGCACATGGCAGAGAGTGTGGCGATGGAGACAGCAGCAATGGGAGGCCGTACAGGGACCCATGACAGACTCTCTGGGACTTGGCAGCAGCATGAGGAGGCGGTATATAGGGGCCCATGGCAGATTAGGGGCCTGGCAGCAGCTATGGGAGGCCCGTAATCTGCCAGCACCCTATGTCAAAAAATTGAACACACACCAGCAGTGTGTGAGGAGACCTGAAAGTGGCACATGGCAGAGTGTGGCGATGGAGACAGCAGCAATGGGAGGCCGTACAGGGACCCATGAGAGACTCTGGACCTGGCAGCAGCATGAGGAGGCGGTATAGGGGCCCATGGCAGATTAGGGGCCTGGCAGCAGCTATGGAGGCCCGTAATCTGCCAGCACCCTATGTCAAAAAATTGAACACACCAGCAGTGTGTGAGGAGACCTGAAAGTGGCACATGGCAGAGTGTGGCGATGGAGACAGCAGCAATGGGAGGCCGTACAGGGACCCATGAGAGACTCTGGACTTGGCAGCAGCATGAGGAGGCGGTATATAGGGGCCCATGGCAGATTAGGGGCCTGGCAGCAGCTATGGGAGGCCCGTAATCTGCCAGCACCCTATGTCAAAAAATTGAACACACCAGCAGTGTGTGAGGAGACCTGAAAGTGGCACATGGCAGAGTGTGGCGATGGAGACAGCAGCAATGGGAGGCCGTACAGGGACCCATGACAGACTCTGGACTTGGCAGCAGCATGAGGAGGCGGTATAGGGGCCCATGGCAGATTAGGGGCCTGGCAGCAGCTATGGGAGGCCCGTAATCTGCCAGCACCCTATGTCAAAAAATTGAACACACCAGCAGTGTGTGAGGAGACCTGAAAGTGGCACATGGCAGAGTGTGGCGATGGAGACAGCAGCAATGGGAGGCCGTACAGGGACCCATGACAGACTCTGGACTGGCAGCAGCAGCATGAGGAGGCGGTATAGGGGCCCATGGCAGATTAGGGGCCTGGCAGCAGCTATGGGAGGCCCGTAATCTGCCAGCACCCTATGTCAAAAAATTGAACACACCAGCAGTGTGTGAGGAGACCTGAAAGTGGCACATGGCAGAGTGTGGCGATGGAGACAGCAGCAATGGGAGGCCGTACAGGGACCCATGACAGACTCTGGACTTGGCAGCAGCATGAGGAGGCGGTATAGGGGCCCATGGCAGATTAGGGGCCTGGCAGCAGCTATGGGAGGCCCGTAATCTGCCAGCACCCTATGTCAAAAAATTGAACACACACCAGCAGTGTGTGAGGAGACCTGAAAGTGGCACATGGCAGAGTGTGGCGATGGAGACAGCAGCAATGGGAGGCCGTACAGGGACCCATGACAGACTCTGGACCTGGCAGCAGCATGAGGAGGCGGTATAGGGGCCCATGGCAGATTAGGGGCCTGGCAGCAGCTATGGGAGGCCCGTAATCTGCCAGCACCCTATGACAAAAAATGGAACACACCAGCAGTGTGAGGAGACCTGAAAGTGGCACATGGCAGGTGTGCATGAGACAGCAGCAATGGGAGGCCGTACAGGGACCCATGACAGACTCTGAGGCAGCAGCATGAGGAGGCGGTACAGGGGCCCATGGCAGATTAGGGGCCTGGCAGCAGCTATGGGAGGCCCGTAATCTGCCAGCACCCTATGTCAAAAAATGAACACACCAGCAGTGTGTGAGGAGACCTGAAAGTGGCACATGGCAGAGTGTGGCGATGGAGACAGCAGCAATGGGAGGCCGTACAGGGACCCATGACAGACTCTGGACCTGGCAGCAGCATGAGGAGGCGGTATAGGGGCCCATGGCAGATTAGGGGCCTGGCAGCAGCTATGGGAGGCCCGTAATCTGCCAGCACCCTATGTCAAAAAATTGAACACACCAGCAGTGTGTGAGGAGACCTGAAAGTGGCACATGGCAGAGTGTGGCGATGGAGACAGCAGCAATGGGAGGCCGTACAGGGACCCATGAGAGACTCTGGACCTGGCAGCAGCATGAGGAGGCGGTATAGGGGCCCATGGCAGATTAGGGGCCTGGCAGCAGCTATGGGGCCCGGCCCGTAATCTGCCAGCACCCTATGACAAAAAATGGAACACACCAGCAGTGTGAGGAGACCTGAAAGTGGCACATGTTTGGGGCATGATTCATGGCGGATTTAGTCAGTTGTGTCAGGAACTGGTGGTTTGAAATCCAGACTAATCCACGCCTGATTATTTTTCACAAACGTGAGTCTCTCCACACTTTGGGTGGACAGTCGTGTCCTCCGCGGAGTTACAATACCTCCTGCCGCACTAAACACGCGCTCCGATGCCACGCTACTGGCCGGGCATGACAGCCTTTCAAGGGCAAATTCAGCTAGTTGGGGCCAAAGGTCAAGTTTCGTTGCCCAGTAGTCAAGGGGATTGTCTACCTCGGTTGGCAGGGTGCTGTCCAAGTAGGCCCAAGCCTGTTGTTTGAGGTCCTGCTCCAGGTCCACCTGATGCTGCTGCTGCTGCGGCTGGTTAGTAGTTTCCTCACTGCGCTGGTGAAGAAAGCTACTCATCATCGACTGCAGACTGAGGCAGCCGCTGCTGGTGGAGCTGCCACTGCTCCTACCACCCCACCCCTCCCCTGCTGCCATGGCAGCGGAACGCGAGCGCACAGGGCCCACAGTGTCTGAGGATGGACGTTGGCGCACAAAGGCAGAGACCAACTGACTACATAGGTGGTTTTTTTATAGTACGTTATTTTGGCCTCCCTCTCAGCAGGTGTGAAAAAGGCCACCATTTTTGAACGGTAGCGAGGGTCCAACAAGGTGGACAGCCAAAAGTCATCCCTCTGTCTGATGGTTATTATTCGGCTGTCGCTACGCAAGCAACCGAGCATGCTATGGGCCATTTGTGCCAAGGAATGCGAGGGACTCCCTGCCTCCATCTCCACAGCATACTGCCACGGTGCGTCTGGGTCCTCTGTCTCCTCCTCCTCCTCTACTCAGATGCTCCTGCTCCTCCACTCCTGTCCGCTGAGTGGAAAAACCACCCACCCATTTCACTCAATAATTCCTGAGCACAAATGTCCTCCTCTACCTCCTCCTCTTCTTCCTGTCCTGCCCCCACAGGGGTCATGTGGCGTTGAGATCTGTGCGCCACGTCTACCGCACCCTGACCAGCCATTGTTAACAGCATTTGTTCCAGGACGTGCAACAGAGGAATGACGTCGTTCACCCATAGTCCTGCCGACTCACGAATAGCGTGGCCTCCTCAAAGGGCCTGAGCAAGCGGCAGGTGTCACGCATGAGCTGCCAATGGCTGACATCGAAGTTACACAGGGGAGTACCTTTATCCGCTTGTAACATCAGGAAATCGGTGATGGCCTTTCGCTGTTCGTAAAGGCGGTCTAACATGTGTAGGGTTGAATTCCACCTTGTTGCAACGTCGCAGATCAGGCGATGCTGTGGAATTCCGTTCTGCCGCTGCAGCTCAAGGAGGGTGTGCTTTGCGGTGTAGGAATGGCTGAAATGCATGCAAAGTTTACGTGACATTTTAAGGATGTCTTGCAGTGGGATGGTGGATTTTAGGAACCGCTTGACAACCAGATTGAACACGTGAGCCATGCATGGCGCATGGCACAACCTTCCTTGACGCAGAGCAGACACCATGTTCTTTTCCGTTGTCGGTCAACATGGTTCCGATTTTCAGTTTGCGCGGAGACAGCCATCTGTCGATTTCTCTGTTCATTACACTGAGAAGTTCCTCCCCTGTGTGACTACGTTCGCCAAGGCATACCAGGTGCAGCACAGCGTGACACCGTTGCGCCCTGCACATGTGATATGCCGGTCGGGTAATGGGACTTGGCACGGGGGGGGTGGCGGCTGAGGACACGAAGGAAGAAGAGGTGGTAGAGGCGGACATCTTTTGTGGACCAAGGACGTGCAAACGTGGAGGCAAAAGCGGCGTGACCTGTCCAAGTTGCTGGTGCGGCTGTGACGGCACCACGTTCACCCAGTGGGCCGTAAATGACATGTACTGTCCCTGACCGTAGTTACAGCTCCACACGTCGGCGCTGCCGTGCACTTTGGCAGAGACCGACATGCTCAAAGACTGGCCCACCATCTCTTCTACATGTGAATGCAGGGCTGGCACTGCCTTTTTGGCGAAGAAATGACGGCTTGGCACTCTCCACCGCGGCGCGGCACAAGCCATCATTTCTCGGAAAGGTGCTGAGTCCACCACTTGGAAAGGGAGGGACTGCAGCACCAGCAACTTGGACAGGAGGACGTTCAGCTTTTGCACCGTCGGGTGCGTGCTCGCAAACTGTTGTCTCTTGGAAACGGATTCCAAGAAAGACTGCTGACGGAATCCGTGAAGAGGAGTAGCAGGAGAAGGAGCATCTGAACGAGCGGAAGATGCCAACGAGCGACAACTCCCCTCAGCAGAGGTGTTGGAGCCTTGACTGGCTGATAGAGGGCGATTGACGTCGGGTGACGGAGCAAGTAACGGAGCGGGTGATGGAGCGGGGGCTGGGGCGGGCAGAACCGCCGTATCTTTATCACGGTTTTCCCAGGCCACCAAATGGCGACGCTGCATATGCTGCCGCAACGCTGTAGTCCCAACATGGGCCCCCTGGCCACGCTTGACTTTCTGGCCACATAGTCGACATACGGCTACGTTTACTTCCTCGGGCGGCTTGACAAAAAATTGCCACACACCGCCGAGTAGGAAACTTTGCCCCCGATACTCCTCACTGGCTGACTGCTGCTTCCTCCGTGCACACCGGCACCACTACTGGCCGTGGTGGTAGGCTGCAGTGGAGCTGGTGCTGTACTCCGTGGCCGTTTGCCTCCACTGACACTGCTGCGACCCTGCTGCCTCCTGGGCAACCCACCGACTGTTTTGCTCGCTGCCAAGCTGCCACCCTCTTCTCCTGATGATGCGGAAGCAATAGCCTGATGACGACGAGGCTGCCAAGTGCGATCAGCCTCATCATCATCAATTAGGGTCTCCGCCTCACTACTAGCCCCCTCGGCTGCGTGTGGGTCAGGAGACAGACCTGTCTCTAGACCGGCTACCGAGCCACTCTCCTCGCCACACTACTTCTTCGCCTGGCTGCTGAAGAGGCGGATGTCTCCCCCCGTTCCTGACCGCCCTCTGTTAGCTCTTCCTCACTGTACAGTGGGGCTGAGCCCACAGCATGCGATACTTCGCTTGGTGAGGGAACACCAAAGGACAGGGGCAGGTAGAGGACACGTGATTTCAGTGGGCTTGCTCCCGGGCCATGCCAACTAACGGTTGTGTCTGACGTACCCACCGACCGTTGGCTGT